CTTCTAAATGAAAGACATACAAGCAAAACAAATAATTATAGATTTAAAACTTATGGCAAAACGTAATCGAAGAACGACCCTATTTTGATCATAATTTCAGAGTCAGACGTTTACAGTACCTTGCCAAAGTATTCTTGACCTTTTTCACATTTTGTCACCTTATAGCCACAAAAGTCAATTCATTTTATTGGGATTTTGTGAAATAGAACAACACTAAGTATTGCATAATTGCAAAGTGGAAGGAAAATGAAACAATTTTCTAAATGTTTTACAAATAAAAAACTGCAAAGTGCTAGATGGGTAAGTATTTCATTCCCATTTGCTCTGAAATCCATTTAGGGAGCCAGCACATAAAAAGGGGCTTAACAGAAAACCAACACTGCATCACGGTGGTATCAGCATCATACATATCAATAGCCAGGAACAGGGAAACTGGTCAGCACTGCATCATACTGACCAATTGGGGCTGAATACACATGCACATCACATTTTCCAGATTTTTATCTGTATAAAACTATAAAATGATTGGGGAACAAAACATCACATAAAATCCAAATAAAACACCCTCACATTTATAGCAGTAACATCAAAAATGTGAAAAGGTTCATGGTCTGAGCGCTTTGTAAGGCACTGCACATCTTAGAATATTTTAGTTTTTTTTTATTTTGTCCAGTCTCTGTGTTTTTAAGGAATTTAAATATATCCAGAGTTATAAAGCACATATTTAAATAACCTCCAGAGTCAACCTATGGCACGTCTTCATTCCGCTTTAACCAACAGCAAACACTGTGTTGGTGCTTGCTGTTGTATTACATTTATATAACATTTTACATTAAGTCAGAGTCATAAGTGTTAACATGAGTTAAAAAAAATAATCTGGAATTATTATTTTTTTTTTTTACAAAAATTACAACTTTTTTGTAAAGGTGTAATTTACAAAATCCAAACTGAATATATATATTTGCTATGTCTGTTTATGTTTTCTATCTGTTTTGTCCAATATGATATATGTAGCTGCCTTTCTCTGCCACTCTTGTGAAAGAAGTCTTGATCTCTTTCTACAACTGCTTTATCTGGTTAAATAAAAGCTCAATAAAATAAAACAACTGATGTAATGTGAGGAGAACAATCATAATACTGCCCAGTGTAATATTCGTCCAAAAAACACTGAACGCCATTAACTATGTGTGGACAATCATTGCATTACTGAGGCTTCACATGACAAGCAGCCTCTTCCTGTGTAAACGAAGAGTCAACACAGTACAGTGACAGCAGACAAATTACTGCTAAACATATTCAACATAACAAACATGGCCTTTAATAAAACTAAGACATAAAAGAGGACACAGTGACAGCTCGATGTTTTGTCAGTGAGCCCTCCAATGGAAATGCAAGATTCTGTAAACAATGACTTCCTCTTTTTCTCACTTTGTTCAGCTGCAGATGTCAAACACAAAACCAGCTAAGCACACATAATTTTGAACAATCTTATAATATATATATATATATATATATATTATATATATATATATATATATATATATATATATATATTTATATATATAAAAAAAAACTCCAGGCATTACACGAGCCACCAGAACAAAGTTCATATTTTAAACAAAACTGAAACAGCAACATGAATCAGGTTTCAGAATTAGCCAATTAGCCAATAAGTAACTCACACCACACATATCAGATAACATCTTAAATTACCGAGGCAAACTTACCACCTGCATGAGCGCTTTTCCACACCACAGCTGGACTGTGTCAGTTTAAGGTTAAGCAACCAGCGATACAAGTGTAAACGAAACAGCACATATATAACAAGTTTCACAGCGGAACAGGAAAGCAATGAACTAGCTAATTCAACAAGCGCTGTAAAAATGTATGCTTACCTACCACAATCACAATCTTCGGTTAGGGAAAGCACGAGTGGGGGGAAAAAAAACCCAAACTGAAAATAAATTCAGCATGACAACTACCCCTCTTGCACAAAGCAAAGAGGGAGACGTCGCTGCTACAGTCGGAGCACATTGGCTCATAATTTCCGCTTTAATACACCCAGAATGACATCTCAAATGCCGCCCTACTATCACAGCATCATCAAATTTGTTTGATATGAGACCTTTTTCAAAAAAACATTGTTTACATCTACAGGCATCATTGCCTAGTCCTTATACGATTTGCTTAATTGATCTACTGGAAATAATTTTATAACACAATCTAGGTAAAAATACAGATCGATTATTTACTGTCAAAATGTCAAGTGACGGGACTATTCATTCCCAATGCAACCTTAACGACTTAACAGCATACATTACTAACAATGTTTTAGTTAGCCTTAAGCGGTTTTCAGCGTTAACATATCCTGAAAAGCTTCTCCATTATGACGTGAAAAGTACTTAAAATAAAACAATACCACATAAGATGAAATACTAACGCCTAAAAGGGCAATTTACATATATTAACATACAAAAAGCAATTTATTTAATAGCTCGCAACATGCAAGTCAATATTGTATAATAAATATTGACTAAGTGGAAACAAACAGGGCGTTAGGTGACAGGTTTATAAATGACTTAGCTTCAACATACAACGGTCTGACATGCTAGCTAGCGGCAGCCCGCTAGCTTTTCTTGTTTTAGTTTTTACCTTCCGTTGACATCAACAGGGAGGGTCATGTCGTCGCCAAGAACGGAATCCATTATAGCAGTAAACTTATAAATCGTTTTTGCCCACAAAACAGGTCATTTTACCGCGCAGACGCGCCGTAAACCTCGAAGAGCAGATAAGAATTCAAAATAGTTCAGGCTACCGCCATTACGATATGGTAAACGTCACCATTGTGCACGTTGAAAAATGATGATGCGTTCGACTGTTGTAGGAATTTTTAAAACTACCTGAAAGAAGTCTTGTTTGGACAATTTCAGAAGCCAAGCAGAGTGACTTACATTTGCAACAAGACAAGGGACGCTATAAATGTTCCATTCTCCACAACATATTTGCATCTAGACATACGTATGTGGGCAATTATTTTATGCAACAATAAAAATCGAAAATTTTAAACAGCTGGGAAGGAGGCACTGAGATGGATAAGAAAAGCAAAAAAGCTATTGGTCCAAACAAGCACTCAAGGGAGGGCCGTGAGACTCAAAAATATTACTGTTGTCATTTTAAAATAATTTGTTCCAGGCGAAGTCCACCCACATGGGCACGTCACTGTCTCTGATAAAATGAAAACATTACTTAAAAACAACAAGGCTTATGAGTAAATTATCCGACACATAAAATGTAGCCAAACGACAGAAAAGAGAGCTATTTGTAAAATTAGTGGTATTGCAGAGCTATCAGTGGTATGAGTGCACGGTCTTGTATCTGTTTTCCCCTTCCCTTAAGTGCAAAAATGTCTAAACAGCACAATGCTAAGCTGTGACCGTGATGACACTGAAGAGTTCCTTCAAGATAACTTGTGGTGAGCAGGGTGTGTTACAGCATAATTAACACTTACTCTAGGCAAATGGTAATTATGCCATTTAATGAAAAGCGTTTACAGCAATATGTAATCTGGACTTTTTATGACGTTCAAAAACAGTTCTTAGAGGCGAGGTTAAACAAACAGTCTTTCAACTGGTCCAGCTTGAAATAAAAAATGTCCAAATATCATTAGCGACACCATGTGGTGTAAAAGTTAACTTCAACCAGTGGTGAAAATAAGCTGTACCACTAAAAGATTTAGCGCCAATGCGCATGCGCACATGAACGCTATGTCACATACTGTTTACTCAGCAGATTTCTTTTCAATACATCCTACCTGCACACAAGCAAAGGCAGTAAAAGTTTGGACCAAATGAAACCCAACAGACTGTTGAGTCATTACTCATGCCATTCACTCCCCCTGACCAGCAGGGGGTGACAGCAAATCGCTTGTGTTGTGTTGACTTTGCAGCAGTCTCTCATACAGAGCATGCATGTTGTGACAGTGGAGAGGAGGAACTCCCCTCTAACAGGAGAACCAGAACTGGGCTTAGTACTAGTACCCATCTGCCATGACTGACTGAAGGTGAGAGAAGACAGAGCAGAGACCCAACACGTCAACTGATCCAGGAGAACTTTCCATGTTCATGGAAATGAAAAGGAGAGGGAGAACCGTTAGGCGATGGCAGCATCATGTCAGCCAATGCTCTTTTCCAGGAAACAACTGCAGCTAATCAATGCCAGACGAGGTGTAACTTCTGTGGAGAGAAAAATAACTGAGAAAACAAAAAGCTTAGTTTCTAACTAATCTTTTCAGTTAGAAAAGTTTTAGTTTCTAACTGAACTGATTGTGTAGTTAGAAACACCAGAGCGCCACCTTCTGGCCTATCTCCAGATCATTTCAGTTCAGAGTAGGGAACTATTTCTGGCTTTGTTTTTTCCCCCTCGTGGCCTGCCAATAAAGCTGCTTTATTTTGGGGCTTTTTTTATAGGGTGGGTCATTTTTGACCCGTAGGACAAGGGGATTAAACAGAATGTTAAACTCGCACAAGGGTTAACCAGACACCACCTTCTTCAGATATGTAGTGTTAAAAAGGTGATGAAACTATTTATCTTTAGCCGTCTATTTCACAATTATACAAAAATTTGTGTAGGTCTATCTTATGAGATACCAAATAAAACACATTAAACCTTATTTGCTTGTTCAAGGCATATTATTAATACTTTTGAAAGCACAATATTCATGCTTTGTTGTGTTTAATAAAGTACCTAAGCTTAGCTAACCACTATAACTGGGATATTTTCCATATATTGCTGAGTTTTTTTGTATTATGGTGTGAGAATTAATGTTCCAAGATGACCCCATCAGGAATCCTCAGATAAAAATTGTGTGAAACCAATGTGAGTCTAAATAGAACACATACTGTATAGGTATTAACACCTATGACATTATTACTGTTAAATGTGTTTTAGCAAACAGATTTAACAAAATACTTTCAGTGAGGTGAACAGTAAAAATCCACAGACAAATTTAAAGTATTTATTTAACAGACACTGAACAATGACTAAAGAGCGGACAAATAAGAGATGAATGCACCAGAAATGATCTCATTCAAAGTTTGATGCTTTGCTGCATTTGTCTGATATTTTCAAACAGGTTTCAATTATGAATGCAATAGAAAATTTTTGCTCATGTAAAATTATGAGGTATTCTTAGCTCATTTTCAGGAAAGATTTATAAAAAAAAAAGTAGAAACCATTTTCACATATTTGCATAATTCCTTAAAACACAAGTTATAGAAGAGCACAGTTCTCATACAGTACATGGTTGATTATCATGAAAGAAATAAAAACAATTAAAAAAATTAGAAAAATAAAAGAAATAATATTGCAATAAATTTGTTCTCTGGAGCCCCAAATTTACACATAAAAAACCCATAAACTTCAAGACCAGTTGGGAGCACGGCTATATAACATTGTCAATAAGAATAGTTTTGCTTTAACTAGCAGAAATTTGCGCAATCTGCAACCACATTAACAGCATTAAATAACATTAAATTAGCAAGAGGGAATCCACTGTATACAGCAAGGTTTACAGAATTATATACACTTGATTCCAGCTACAATATTTTTTTTTTTGCCCTGTAAAAACTTTCTACTAGTTGCTAAAAATATTACATACAGCTCAGCGGGGCTTTGTACATATTTTTGGAAATGGTTTAAACCCTGCGATTTATGCCGGATATAAACTGAAATATTTGAGAATTGTAAAAACAAACAAACAAACAAAAAACAAAACAACAAAAAGCTTAAATTTAGCTTTTATTTAAATGCAGAGTGGAAATGAAAAATAATTTGGCAATTATGTCACGATAAATGGGCTCATGATGTAGCGTAGTGTAATGGAACGGGTAAGTTGTATATAAACTTTTTTACTAAGCAAAGCCTGCATGCACTATATGCATATGAATAGTTTAGCAAAGTGGTGTATAACAGCACTATCACTAGCACCTTTGAAAATGTTCTCAGCACCGGGATAAAAGATGGAGGTTTCCGTTTTGATTCCTGTACCCGCTCTCCATTCTTCTGTGGCTCAGATCTCCTTTATGGACACCCTATACATGTACTCGTTTTGATTTTAAATGCTCAGCTGGTGCCGACTATGTATTCTGTTTTTATTCATTAGTGAGGAAGCAAGAACCTGAAGCTGTAATCCACAGTTAGAGAAGATTTACTAAAACACTACTGAGAACTTAAGCTTGTCTTCCTCTTCCTCAGTCTGATATCGATAGCCCTTCCAGTCGTCAGTGGCATTCGTTTGTTTTTGGCTTCGGCTTGTGACCACTGTCCTTCTCACAGCAAGAAGAAAATGTAAATCTTCTTTTCAGAATACATAAATATATGATTTGGATAAATTCACCTGTGAAATACCATGAACAGATGAGCACCAAAGGCAAGTAAAATGGCACCCCATTTGACATGAAAAAAAAAAATCTTCCATAAACAGCTTAAACCAGATACTTGCATACATTGTATTAAAAGACACAACAACTTTTCTCTTCATTGTCTGTCATAAAAGCATACTGAATGTTTCCTATTTTAGGGTAGTTACCAAAATTACTAATATATGCTGAATATCAGGATGATCAGAAAGAGAATAAAAACAATGCTTTGCACTTTGTATGTGTACGTTCTTTGTGTCTGGTAGATTTGTCATTTAAACTGCATGACTGTGGTAAATATTAATTCCCAAGATTTCTATGGGACTGAAATCGGGGCTCTGCCAATCAGTGTCCATTTGGAACACTGCGGACAAGCTTTAACGTCCTGGATAATGTTTTGAGATGTTGCTTCAATATTTCAACATAATGTTTCTGTCCTCATCATAACATCTATTTTGTGAAGTGCAGAACACCCTACTGCAACAAAACACCCACACATTGTTAGTATGCTGCCAACCCAATGCTTCATGCATGGAGCGGTGTTCTCAGTCTTGCAAATGTCCTTCTTTTTCACCAAAAGTTGTCCCTGAGTGTATTTGCAAACTGTGATCCGATTTTTATGTTGCTTTTGCCATGATGACTTCTTCTTCGGAGAGTGGCCTTTCTGAACATTTCGACACAGGACTCATTTCACAGTCGATAATGAATCCCTCTTCCCAGCCTTACATTTCTGTTTCGGGGGTGATACATACATTAGCACCAAAACGTGTTCATCTCATGGATCCATAACCTGCCTCTTTCTTTGAAGGTATGACTGAATATTCTCACGCTGTTTGTATTTGTATGTAGTTGTTTGAAGAGATGAATGTGACAGATTCAGAAATCTGGAAATTGTTACCCAGGGATAATCCAGACTTGTGAAGGTCCACAATTTTCTGTTTCTCTATCTTAGCAGATTTTTTTTTTCTTTACAAGGAAGCAGTGCCTTTTTAGGTATTGATTTACAATAAAGCAACAGTCATGTTCCTCATTCAACTAAAACACCCTGAATTAACCTACCAGAAGCTTGCAAAAATGACATCATACTCTGGAATTTACCCATCTTCTTAAAGCCACATAGTGCACGCAAGCCTCTGAATTTGAACAGCATTTTAAGAAATCTCTAAAAAATCTCTTACTATTCTGGCATTTAGCGAATCCAAATAACACAACTAAAACAAGAGAAGCACAGTCTAATCTGATGTCAGACATTGTGGAGAAAAAGCTTATGTGCTTTTTTGCACAGTGTACTCTAGCATCTGGTTTTAAGCTCTATGTTCCAAAATATATATATTTTTTTACTTTTATCTATTGCACTTAAAGATTATTAATTTACAAAAGACATACATGTATAAAATCAATGATAGAGCATATATATATATATATATCTATATTTACAAAATCCCAATTACTTTAGGTGCTATGACAAAATCTGAATATTACACAAAGTATACAGACTGTATACAGTTGTGGAAATAAGTTACTTCAAATATTCACTGCTGAACTTGGCCTCCTTTCACTTAAAATGTCCTGGAGACATTGCGTGGTATTTTATCCTTTAACATGGAGATCCGCCCGATGGAGCTTGAGGAAGCATTTGTTGGTCTGAGAAGCCAGTAGTGCAAGAACTCCCCTGCTCCTGTAACCCCGCCGCCTTGCTCTCCCTGCTTCCTCCTTTTCTCTCTGCTTGCAGTCCACTAGGAGTTTGGTTGTGAAGCAGTGTCTGTTTTGGGCGGGAGGGAAGGCAGTGAGTTTTTTTCTCACTTGGACAATGTTTGTCATGTAATCGTGAAAGGTCACGATTACATGACCTTTCTGGTCTCCACGCCTACATGAAGGTGATTTGCAGGGGGAGGTTGTCCTTCCCTTTGTGCTCAGAAGACTGACGCTGTGGCCCTCAAAGAAAGCAAACTGGACCGATCTCCAGGTGGTAATGTGATGCAGAGTTTGTTTTTGGGAGGTTGTAGATGTCGATCACAGGGAGCAGGGTTGGATCCAGGGAATGGAACACAAACTGGGTCTGGTGCCAGCGCCCATCTTTTCTCTAAAAACACAATAACAACAATAAATAAATACATTTTAGTCAGCAGATTTGAAGATAGTGTGAGAGCACTAGGTCTGAAGCCCTTTACACCAGATTACAACATCGTAAAACCTACCCAACAGGAGTCCTCCAAAACATCTGGCTCGAGCTCCCCTCCCACTGCAAACACTTCTCCGGTCCAGGCCTTGAATCTCACAGACCGATGGTCTGGGAGCTGATTCTCAGCTGACCTCCAAACTGAGATGTTCAGACAGTGGATGGTGATGTGCTGAATAGCCTCTGAGCTCAGGAGGTGCAGGAAGTTCATTTGGACACGGCCAACCTCAATTGTCGGCTGTAGAAGAAACGAGATCAATGCAACATTGCCCATTTGTGTAAACATTCATTAAAACTACAGTCGCATCTTGTATACCTTGGAAACCGTTATTGGTTTAAGGCAAGTTTGTCCACCACCAGTAAAGCTGCAGGTGACTTCTATTGTGTCAGATGAGCAACCAAGATTGGGATCTATCCAATAAGTGCCTGAGAAAAAACAAACAAATTTGGTTTAAAAACTATCCAAACAATAAAACACTCACTCTATTTAGCTTAACAAGTATCCCGTCTCACCGTCATTTAACTTCTGTTCACAACTGTGAAGGTCCCTGCAGATACGGGCGGGATTGTCTCGAGTGCCCAGTGGGTTCTTCAGGCTCTGGATCAAGTTACTGAGGTAGTGGAGGGTCTTGAAGATCTCTGCTCCCTGGTCGAGCATCGGCAGGTCCATTGCTGGTCTATGCTGGAGGACAAATGAAAAGAATCAAAGATTTATTTTCTTAAATATGCACTCGCTGCTAGCCATGCTGATAGCTAGCATAATATACTAAAGATAATTTAAGTATGTTGGCTTTATTTTTACTGCCTTGACAATGTATTTTAGTGTAATGTGGTTTCAGATAGTTGGCCTGTTAAATATGGTTTTAAAAGTCCAACAAGAGACAAAAGTCGAAAAGCTGCTGTAATAGCTTTAAGGGAACCATAAAAGTTCTAAATATTGTTCTTTTATCCATGTTGATGTTTTTAAAGCAAAATTGCAAATTGCTAAAATCGGAATCAAAACGTCAAAGTGATATAAAAACTCAAGATTGGACATCAACTACTAAAATCTAATAGTTGCACAAAATAACAGAAATGTAGAATCTGACCAACCTGAGTCCTGACAGGATTGGGCGAATCAACAATCACAAGGCCATCTTCTTTCTGCAGAGCAGAAATCTCAGATTAATTAATTTAATCAGTTTCAGTGCCATCGTTTGGAAATTATGTTTTAGTAAATCCATTTTTACAACTTGTAAACCTGAACAATTAGCATTAAGGTACTTACAAATGAAAGAGGGATTCCAGGAGGGCCCTAAAGAGAGGAAAAAAAGTTACTTAGACAATGAGTTTTCAGTGGCAGAAATGAAATTTGGTATTGTTTATTAAAGTTGAAACCTACTGGAGGTCCAGGACGTCCACGAGGTCCAGGTGATCCCTAATAAATAAAAACGAACATCCAGTGGAAACTTGTAAACTGCTCTGACATATGGGAACTCTAAGGCACCCATTTTTAGTATTTGAAGGGAAGAAAGTTAATATGAAGACATACCCTAGGACCTTGAAATCCCTGTTTTGAGAAAATACAGACATGTATTCAGCTTGGGAATGATGCATAGTTTTTCTTTCATATGGTGCTTAAAATTGACTGCATGTAAAATAGACCAGAAACAAGTCTGAAATACTTACATTCTCTCCACGGTTGCCTTTTTGTCCTCTAGGACCCTGTTAGAAGACATTCACAGATGAGTCAATACTGTAGGGGAGAAAATGAAAGACGAGAAAAGTTGAGAGAAATTTAAGGAATACTACATACTGCACTTCCATTGGGACCAATAATTCCAACAGGGCCGACAACTCCTCTTCCACCCTGCATGAAAACAACACAAGAGGATAAAATGGAACGGACTGCAAAGCATTGGAAAACTCACTAGATTATTAAGCCATGTACCATTGCACCCTGTGGCCCCTTCGGCCCCCGTATGCCCTTTGGCCCAAAGTCTCCTGGAGGACCCTGAAAATGGAAGCAGACCTCTATAAATTGTCAGGACTTAATTAAAATTTTTCTCAAACAAAATATGTCATTTAATTTGCATAATGAAAAAATCTTTATTGCTTTGTTTAAAATAAAAAGAATATTGTAATAAAAACAAAAAAAAATCCATACTTTTTCATACTTTGGATTATCTTAAATTTTTCCAGGTTTTAATTCGTATAATTCTATATTAGCATCATCACTTCAACCTTAAACATGGATGGATGGATTCATGGAGAGATGGATAAACAACAGACAGATGGATAGTAAGACAGGTGAATGGATTGAGAGATAGAGGGATGGACAAAAGGACGAATGACGGACGAATATTAAATTAATGTATGATTTCATATTAAAGATCCTTATATGAACGTGACAATTTTTGTGACATAAAGTGAAATCTAAATGTTTTTGGTGAGATTTTATTTTCCATGAAGAAGATCCGTCATATAAATTTCTTACACTGGTTGTGTCCTAACAACTCTAAATTCTTCTTACATTTTGACAATACAATGTTTGATTCAATTTGTGAGTTGCTATTTTGAGATGACCTCACCTTTGGTCCAAACACTCCAAGAACTCCTGGAAAACCTTGTTCTCCTGCATCACCCTATAGAAAAAATAATCAAGTTTAAAAATGAAAATATCCCCCGCTGCCCCCACCCCCAGTTTTCATAATAACTAAGTCTGAGTAACACCCACAGGCTGTCCTTTAGGTCCTCTGTCTCCCTGTGGCCCCTGTTGTCCCATTCCACCTTTGAAACCCCTTTTTCCCGAAGGTCCACTCTGGCCTCGAAGACCCTGCTCCCCCTGAGTGGACGGATAAACAGTAACATTATTGGTGAAAACATGACCAATAATATGTCAATGCAATGACAACCAAGGAACTGTAGTTGTTCCCATTTATTTTTGTCCTTTCACCTTTGGTCCTACTCCTCCCTGATCCCCGGGGAGTCCTGGAACGCCAGTTTTGCCGCGTCCACCAGATTTACCAGGAAGCCCTACCACCCCATCATCACCGTGCTCTCCCTATTCACAAATAGAGAAAGTTAATGATCGGTTCATAGCACCAGCATTTAAAATATCACTTTGAACCGGTACACAATGTTGGGTATGTTTCAAGAGTTAAATATGGAAAATTGTTTGTGTAGAATGTCACAGTAATTTTATACAATGACAACATATAATCAGTCAACAGCTGTGTGAATGAAAACTTTAATGAAGTTAAAGTTTCTCACCGGCATGCCTTTGCTTCCATCTTTTCCCGTGGTTCCATCCTCTCCAGGTACTCCCTCCTGCCCCTCTGGACCCACCACACCTCTGGGACCAGGAGGACCACCCCCACCCTGAGGAGAATGAAGGCGGTACGACCGGACTGATCTACATGCTTCACAGTGATGCAGTGGCTTACAAAAGCATTTCGATATCCGAGCCCTACATTTGGTTATTTCACTTCTCTGGCTTAAGGATTCCTTGTAAACATGACTAATCAGGTGACTTCTGAAGTTCATTGGTTACATTGGATTTTATTTACAGGTGTCAGAATAAATGAGGGAGGTAAAGACAAGTGGATGTTGCAAGTTTCAGGTTTTTCATTTTTAAAACATGTGTAATGTGTAATTTTGCTTCTGCAATTATGCAAAACAAGATGTTGAACTATTACACTCCTAAAATGATTTTGATTTCATGTTTTATTATTGCTCTTAAATTTATCTTCATTTTAGACCATGTAACTAAAATGGTTGTGAGTCGCTTGTTGTATTTAGCTAAGAATAGTTAGTCCATAATAGTGCTGTAATATGCCTTGGAGTAAAAATTGTTGTATAATATTGCTGTCATCAATACTTTTTTGATGACAGCAAGTGATGTCATCAATAAAATATACATTGAATTTGAAATTATAAGTTTCTGATGTTGAACTTAATTTTTTTTTTATTCTTGGAGAAGATTTCTTTCTTTGTTTGGAAGAACTTGTATCAGTGAAGAAGTCACAGCTTTGTCCTACAGGAAGTCAATGACGTACCTCAGTTCCTCTAGCTCCTTTTTGTCCAGGTTGTCCTTTTTTGCCTTTTTCACCCTGGATGAAGAAAAAAAACAACAACAAATTTTTAAATGTGAAACACTTAAATAATTTTCACTTATAAATTGTTTCTATTTTTATGAGTGAATCAACATTTTACTTTCTCTTTCTGACCTCAAGTTTCTAGTTTTGTCAAAGGCCTGTTTATTTTAACATAACGTTGCACTAACAGTTAACCCTATTTACTGAATTAAACAGCCCAGTAAATGATCTGGAAATCTACAACAAGCTCATTAAATGCTCTTAAAAGAATCGTAGCAGTGCAACAAGTTCTCCGGTCTGTTGTTTAAGTGAACTAACTTGGTCAAAGTACTGAAATGTCACGTCTTCCTAAATTAGAGAGGTAAACACTATTAACTTAGACTTAACAGAGAATCCACCTTTTAAGTGCTCAAGTCTTTTTTTATAGTAAACCACATTTCTGAGGACATATCTGTTGAATTGTTCAAAATTTGTTTTATGGACTTTTCCCTCTTTCTTTCTTTCTTTCTTCCTTTGTTGGTTTCTTTCTTTCTCTGTTTCTTTCTTTCTTTCTTTTTTTTCTTTCTTTCCTTCTTTATCTTGAAACAGATTTAGAAACTTTCAATTCAGCATAGTTTAGTAGTACAATTTTCTAAACTACATTTTGTGATGCGGTGACTTAACATCCGTTGTCAAATCATTGCCCCAAATCCCCGTTGAACAATGTTTATTTTAATGCTATACTTTGTGATTCACATACACCAAGTATCAGTTTCAGATTGTGAATTTCTGCAAAAAAATTTCTTTACAGATATCTCGCATTTCTTTACATCCTTACTTGGTCTCCCTTGGCCCCTTTGGGTCCTTTTTGTCCACGAGGCCCGGGATGACCCTGCAGTCGAAATTATAATTATTTTTTTCCGTAAATGAAAGCATGTCAAGAAAACCTGCATGAATAGATGTGGTGTTTGTTTTGCATAAACTCTGCTCTGTGTTACATTAAAGTTTGGTCACTCACCGGTTGTCCAGGAGCTCCAGATCTGCCTCGTTCTCCATCCAAACCAATTTGACCCTTAAGAACATAATGTTTAAACTCTTTATCAAAACACCTAAAGAACTTGTTTTGAAATAATCTGTCGTTCTTACTTTATACCCTGGGTCTCCTGATTCACCCCTCTCTCCTCTATCACCTGGAGGTCCCTGATAACACAAAACATATATAAATATAAACAACAGATTTTCTGATTCAATTTAATGTGTAGAAGAACAACAAATAGAAATATAGAGAATCAGAGTCATACAGGACTTACCATGAGACCTGGAGAACCAGGAGGACCTTCCTGCTTCCCGTCATCACCCTGCTCACCCTGAATAGAAACAATTTAAAAGTTGTAAAATCAAATTGGGATGCCTTCGAGACTCTAACTTCTACATCAGAACAATTTGTACTTATTACACTGAAAGATCAACATTACACATAAAGTGAATGAGGTGTACCTTTTCACCTTTTGGTCCTGGACGCCCCATGGGGCCCTGTGGTCCCAGATGGCCCTGTTGCAAAGTGACAAGAAAAAGTAATGAAATACTACAGTCCCTTATCAAATGATCCCTAATCTTCATGCAGTTTATGAACTCAGTTTACATCTGAACGCTTTATAGAACCAACCTCCACTGCAATTGAAGCAGGAGAATTTGACTGGACCATCATGAGATACATAAATGTCTGGATCTAAACAGATCCAGTTCCTCTTTAGTTATATGTGTCTGCTTAGGGTTGTTGTGCTGTTGGAAGGTAAACTTTCATCCCAGAAAAAATATTTTTGCAGATTTTGCAGAAAGGTTTTCTTCCATCGTTTTCCTGAATTTAGCGCCATCCATCCTTCTACTAGCTCAAATCTACTACAGTAGGGGTATCATTTTATGGTTTTCAAGAGTTCAATTTTCATTTCATGTGATTAAAAGAACTTCCTCTACATATTTTCTGTGTTGCTTTCATGACTTGTAATGGACTCCTTATGGTTTTTTTCCCCACAATAACCTTCTCTTTGCAATTTTTCTGTAAGAAGAACTGATTCTTCTCTACCCAACACAGCTAAGTTGAGGATACCCTCTAGGTTAACCATGCAACCTCTTAACCGAAGTTAAACTTTAGCTAGGTTAACCTAGAAAACCTCTAACTAGAGAAGAATTACTAGAGAGGCCTGGCTAATCTCTAGGTTAACCATTAGGCTGTCAGTTGCTGCAGCAGATTTTAATTTCGAGTTTAGCACTTCAAAATTATGCTTGTGACAAATTGTGAAAACCATTGATCATTTTCCTTCCACTTTGTGTTGGCCCATCACAAAAAATGCCAATAGCATATATTGAGGTTCATAGTTATAACATGACAGAATTCAAGTTTTATGAATATTATGCTAATAATTTCTCTAACCTCATAGCCTTGAAGACCAATTTCACCTTGTTGACCCATTCGGCCCGGAGCTCCCTGCGTCAAACAAATATGCAGGTAATCACACCATCCATTATAACATCTCAAGTGTTTTCAGTTTAAGTAATGGCTGCTTTAAGTGTGTCTTTATCATTACTGTTCTACTTTACCACATGTCCTATAGTCCCTCTGGAACCCTTTGGCCCTACAAATCCTGGCGGTCCAGTCTCTCCCACTGTTCCAGTTTCTCCAAGGTGACCCAGCTGACCCTTGGCCCCCTAGACATGCATAAAGCATAATAATTAACTCCAAGGATTTGAAGCAGATGCTGTCGGTCCCTCTGTTCTTGAATTTTTGTTGTTACTAAGTGATTTTAAAGTAATTTTATGTTTGTACCTTTAGGCCTGGTTTGCCTCGTTCACCGATTTTACCGGGCTTTCCTTCTGAACCCTTAAGTAAAAACAGTGAAGAAATGAATTGATAAAACTCAAATTAATGCTTAATGGTGAAGGCAGTGAATTGTGCATAAATTTCAAGCAGACCAATGACTTACCCGGACGCCAGTGAGTCCAGGACTACCAGATGGACCTTCCTTTCCCTTTAGTCCAGTTTCACCTTTTTCACCTTTGTCACCCTCCTGACCCATGTCACCTTTTTCTCCCTGATCACATAAACACAAGTGGCTATTTGAATTTTGGCTGACTGATTATGTAATGTATTTTCTCAATAACATAATTATACAGCATTAAGTATTGTGTGCAATATGTTTACCTTTGCTCCATCAGGACCAGCTGGACCAGCTTCTCCCTCTAGGCCTGGCTCTCCCTGCACACATAAATACATACAAAACTCCAAAGTGAACCAACTTTCCTGCTTTTCAGTAAACCAAGTGGTTTCATAACTCAGTTCAGACAAACTCACCCTCTGTCCTATGAGTCCTTGCTCTCCGATGTTCCCTGCTGGTCCAAGCCCCCCCTGAGGCCCAGAAACAGTACATTTTTAGTGTTGACAAAAAGAACCGACATAAAACATTTGGGCATAATTACGATGGTTTAGTTTGCTTGCCTTCTCCCCAGGTTCGCCTGGAAGTCCTGGTTCGCCCTCTTTGCCATCAGGACCCTAGAATAGTAAAATTATAAACCTGATTTAAAATGTTAAGATAGTTTCACTGCATGAAAGCAATACATCAATGCTAAGTTCCATCTTTTACTATCTTAACTGTAGTCAAAATGAAAAAGGATGCATGTCAGCTGCGGGTAATTAGTTTAATAGAGTAGATAGCTGATATAATTTATTAATCCAGTAAAAGAAGCTAAGAATTACATATTTGTATTTTACTTGTAATAAAAACAGATGTAAATATATGTATCTGTGCAACTCTTTGAATAAGTTTGTAGACCTCTTAAACGTTTTCCAATTTTCTCCTCTCTCAAACATTAATGTATAGATTGAGATTGTATGTGACAGACCAACACAACATTTTGGAAAAAAAGCTTTCATAATTTACCATTTTTGTTTTATTTACAGATCAAATCAGATTATGCTTTAATTTGCTTTAAGACCACTTTTAAAAGTGTAACTTAAAAGTCAGAGAGAACTTTTCGACAAGTTTAAAGCAGAGTTAAGTGATTAAACAATATCCAAAGCTTTGCCAATGAAATGAAGCAGTGTTCAGCTCATCATCTGGCATTGTCAAGAACATGAAATACCTGAACACCTACCAAAACACCTAAAGTGACAGGCTGGGGAAGTGGCAAATAAATTAAACACAGAAGAGGCCCGTGGTAATTCTCTGCAAATATCCACAGATCGGGTGAAAGAATCTCTTGACAAGACAGATATTAATCATTCTACAAATCTAGCTGCTATTGAGAAGTGGCAATAAGGAAGCAAGTGTTGGAAGAAAGCTGTGAAAAATCCTGCCTCCAGTTTGTCATAAGTCATATAGAGGTCACAGTTAACAGGTAGGTGTAGTCAGATGAAACCAGACTTCAGATGCAAGTTTTGCTACATGTAGGGAAACTGACTGTGTCCATCATCCTGAGCACACCAACCCCATAAATAAACATGGTGATTACAGCATCATGTTGTGGGAATGCTTTTCTTCAGCAGTGATCGGGAACATGGTTAGAGATCATGAGAACAAGGATGGAACTAAATCAAGGGCTAATGCTAGAACGACAGAATGAGCTGCAAAAGACTTGGGGCTTTGGTGGAGAAGCACCTTCCAGACAGACAACATTTCCAAATGTACAGCTGGAGATCAGACATTGTAGTGAGAAGCTAAGGCAAGACTATAAAATAGATTTTTCCATCTGACTGATCTTGCAGCTGCAATTAAGAGAAAAAAGTGCTTCTACAAATTATTGACACATAGGTATGGTATACACATTTAAGATTTTATTTGGAAAAACATGTGTTCCCAATTTATGTGTTAGTCTGCTACATTGAAGCTCAAGAAAACACATTGACACTTGTGGATGCAATGTGAAAAGATGTGAAAGGTTGAATAGCTGTGCACAGTGTTGTATATTTGCTTACCTTTGGACCAATTTCTCCTAACAATCCAACAGTTCCTGGTGGTCCGGGTGGTCCCTGCAGAAGATAACATGGTAGCTTGAATGATTATTACATTAAAGAAATCAGATCTAGTACTATTTGTGGGAAAAAAACAACATAAATTGAAAAACAAGCAGATTAAACCTTTGTGATGACCTAACCAACATAATACGCAACTTATTTATATTTCATCATAAAATACAATTTCTAAGTGTAAGATTATCATGTTGGTTAGTCTTCCATTAGAAAAATTTGCTGACTAGAGGGAGTAATAGAAATCATAACTCCCCAGCTGATGTATAAAAATCCAAAAAATGAAGATTCACTCAGACTTCCCACATTTTCATTCATTTCTATTTCTAAAAAAATACTCAAAGTAAGGAAACAAAAAGAAGGAAGGAAGAAAGAAAAAAAGAAAGAAAGAAAATATATGACAACAAATTTAATTCCCATAGAGGAAATCTTTATATATCAGAGATCTATTATTGGTATTCACAGGTCAAAATCAAATGTGCAGTGCTTGCCTGAAATTGATTAGTCTGTGTTGTCATGCAAGATCACGCAACATGCAGCCTTTGTTGTCTTGCATGACAACAAAGGCTGCAGCAATAATTAAAATATTACTTAAGTTATCAGCACAGAAATTTGGAAAATGAACAAATATGGAGGCAATGTCTACTAAAGCTATATTTTCAAAGCTCTTTTTATCTGCAATTTATGCTACAATAAAAAAGAGAAATGAGACAACTTTGTGACAGCTTCTGTGGGAATGTTACATAGAAACACAAAAATGAGAAATATAGTCAAGAGTTTATAAGTCCAAACATACTGGGTCGCCGGCTATTCCCTTTTCCCCTGGAGGTCCAGAAGGCCCTTGGATTCCCTGAAAACAAAACAATCTGAAATTAACACAATAATTGCCAAGAAACACAAGTTGTTTATACAAAGTCCTTATTTTTTATTTATACAAAAGCATTAATAAACAGATTTTAAAAAGTTTCTTCTTCTTTTGGCTTTCAAAGCAGATATTACCATATTCATGGCATCTGTCTCAGCGACACCAACCCTCTGCCAATTCTCCTTCACTACATCCATGAAGCTCTGTCCAATAAATCCACCGCTCCTCCTCTACATACAGTATGTTTGACTTATCAATTTATTGATTATTGTTTATTTTCAGTGATCTATGTCTCAGAAAATAAACAACAACAACAACAAAACAAAACATTGAACTTACTGGAAAACCTTTTGGCCCAGTGTCTCCCGGCTCTCCGATCTTTCCCTGTGGGGACATAAAGGATGGAAAGACAGGATTAACAAAAGTCAGTTGTGGAAATCTAGAGCTGGTTAAAATCAAACCTGTCCTAAAAATATTTTTGTTTATCTTGACTAAATATATTAATGAAATCAGGTGATTAAAATGATTATTTTGACTTGTGTCTGACAAATATTAGAAGTGTTACTAAAAAGATAAGAGATAACATTATATTTACTTCCACTTAGTATTAAAATAACAAAACATTTTCAAAGGGTTGAATACTTTCGAATGGAATTTTATATGCTCCAATAAAGGAGCATGCAATAAAAATGGGGTAATGTTCTTGTTCTATGGCCACATATGTAAGTCTAGTAATAAACTCTACAAAAAACCCCCAACAAAAAACTCTGAAAAAATAAAAAGTGATTCTTTTTTATATTTGAGTCTGGATCTCAACCTTGCTGGTTCAAAGCAGAGGTTCTTTGAGAACATAGTAGCCAAAACAAAACAAAAACCTGACATAGAAACAAAAAAATCAAATGGTGTTCAGGAGCTTCACCTGTGATCCTGGGAAACCTATTTTTCCTGGAGGTCCATCAGAACCCTTCAGTGAAGAGAAAAGATAAGATAATCAGTGCCAAGTTCATTGTATATGTACTTTTCCTCAGATAAAACAGAAGACAAGTGCAGTTCGCCACCAAAATAAAAAATAAAAAACTACTTACCTTCTTGCCCTCTGACCCCATCTCTCCTGTTGGACCATCAGGCCCCATTGCTCCCTGAGAAAACAAGACACATGTCACTTCACCAATAGAGGTCACTGTAGCACCACCAGACAAAACAACCAGGATCCTCATGTGAGGGTCACAATATCTGAAAACTCCACTTCTACAAAAAACAAAACAACGACAACAAAAAAAAATACATCAATGCAGAGTCTTGATATACTAAAAAGTGGCTGGCCTTAATAGTAGTGAAACTCACTGGCCTTATTCTAATTTTACCACTGAATTCAGGGTAAAAGAATTCAAACTTAAATACACAAAAGATCAACACAGATCAACTGTTTATCTTACATGAGTGACACCTTCAAACATAATTAATCCAAATTGCTGCAAACTCCTGCTTGTCCAGGGACCAATAAAAACAAATATAAGTCAGGGCAGTGTTCCAGTACACTTCATCTGCTTTGCACCTGCATCCAATCAACTTTCATAGCTTTACTCTGGAAAATGCAGCGTTACCGACATAGCGATGCTCAGTAATTAACAGTGAATACATTAAAAATCTCTATGAATCTCCTGGTAGTAGTTTTTTTTTTTCATGGCAAGTTTCTCAGGACATCACACTGAAGGAGGCCTTGTTGTTTGACTGATTGATGACCAGGCGCAGTGGGGGTCTGGCCCACAAGCAATAACAATAGCTGAAGTGCTATAAGCCTATTATACATAGAGCTGGATGGCCACTGCTCATTAACATTCCTGTCTGGGGTACCTGCTGCCCGCTGGTTCCATTTACATTGGCTGATTAGCCGATGAGTAGGGAAACTATTCCCCCCTGCACTTCCAGTCAAATAATTAACAAAAAGAAACACGCTACATCCAGTAACTTTAATGTACCGTGGATTCAAGGCTCTTTTCTGACTAACAAACATGGCAGACAAAATAAATACCAAAAGCATGAATTCAAGCAGTTCAATTTAAACCAGCTCAGAAGCAACCGCAAACTGCTGAGTTGTAGGAATAATGCTCTGCAACATGGTACATATTAACTCTGGATTTGTTCCTTCGATAGCCAGAGAAATCATTTGTTCCAGATATCTTAAAATGCAAATATTGGAAACAGTGTTGGATTTGTAATACTTGGGACTCTCTTTTAAGTTGTTTTTAAGCACACAGATATAATGCAATCCCAGAACTTTTCCACATGTTGTAACATTAAGATGTTAACATACTTCATTGGGATTTTATGTGAGAGATTACAACAAAAAGGTGATGATTGTGTCATGGAAGGAAAATATGTATTATTAATATTTTTTTTTGTAAAAACCCTAACCCATAGTGTAATATCCATATCCATTTATATTCAGCCACTTTTTCACTCAATTATGCCATTTGTTGCTATTAAATTTACAAGTTATTTTCAATAAGCTTTTATAAGCTTTTCACATCCAGAGACTGAAATTTATGTCATTTCTACTCAGGTAAAAAACCTAGAGACTGGACAGAGAACTGGTGTGAACATGCATATACAGTTTCCAAGTCTTGATCCTCAATGGAATTTAGGTCTGGACTTTGTCTAACACATAAAAATGTGTTGGAATTTGATCCTCAACCATTTCATTGTTGCTCTGGCTTTCTGTCGCTCTTCAGCTGGAAGCTGAATCGTCGCTCTCGTCTCCAGTGTTTTGTGTCAATCTGACCTGAACACATTCTGTCACATGTTTTCCGGGTCCTCTGGCTTGTGACAAGCTAAAAACAGGACTTATTGTGCTTTTCTTTGCCTTTCTTCTACACAGGAATGATTTGCGGAGGACACAACTCTATGACCTGAGCCTGTCTTAATCCCCTAAACAATTTCATCCCTGACCTGTCTTGTGTGTTCCTTTCCTCTTATTATGCGGTTTGTTCTAAAAAACCAAAAGCAAAACAAACAAACAAAAAAAAAGCTTAGACCTTCACAACACTACTGGACATATACTGAGAAGAACGTGAGCAACACTTCCAAACTATGGACCTCTAGAAAAGTTGAACTGAATTTATTCAGTGTAAAGGGAGCTGAATACAGCTGTACCCTACATGTTTGAGGTATTTCTTGGTAAAATCTTGGAAAATCATTAATCATTTTTTCCACTTTTCACATTATGCAACAATTTGTGCAAGTCTCGCACACAGAAACTTAACACAGCATCATGAAACCTGTGGTTGTAACATGACAATATGAAGTTACTTAATTCGGTGAGTGAAAATAAAGACAGCACTGGATCTAACTTTTTTATGTTCTGAAGCCATCCTGCATTTCAATTTTGAATCTGAGTAGAGGCAGATGTTTTTCTGTCACTATTATTTTCTACATGGAGCTTTACACAAGAAAGACGTATGGTGTATGTACAGCAACATTTTTCTCATCTTGCATCTTCTTATGAGTCGTTTCAGCTTTATTTTTAAGCCACTGTTGAGTGTTTTCAAAAATAATTATTTTTTTTTTCCGTGACTTGTTTCTTGAAATGTTTTGTGAAGGTAAATGAATCATTCAGCTTTCTAATCTTGGACAAAGCAGGGGGACCTGCTGACATTAGCACTAACCAAAAACACATACTGGAGTGAGAGTGTGCCCAGGCCAACCACAGCAAGGCCAGTGTTCCATAAAGGCTTCTGACAAAAAAAATAACCTCAGGGTTATTTTCTCCTCCTCACATGCGAAACAGAAAAAAAAGTTGTCTAAACTTAGAACTAAGATTCTTAGATTACATAAGCATAGGATTAAGATGTTTTGGCTGACTTAATCTTCTTTGCCTTGAAAACAGAGAACAAACATAACTATATTAAAGCCACTGTCTCCAATATATGATTGGTGCATAAGCTTTGAAAGCAAGGTATTCTTTTTATTTTTGTTTTTCTAAGAAATTAATATAATCATGGTTGGCTTCAGGTGTGTATTCATTTCAGATTTTCTATCTATTTTTAACAGAGAAAAAAATGCCAGAACGAAATTGATCATCAACCTGTATACACCAAACCCATAGTTAGACATGATAGTGGTAGCATTATCACCGTCGTCATCATCATCATTGTCATATGTGGATGATTATCTTTGACGCTGATATAGAAGATTATCAGAATTGTTACAAAAAAGTGGATGGAGCTACAATCAGGGTAACCCTCCAGGAACACTTTTTGAGGATTGAAAACTCTTCAAATCAAACTTAAATCTGATTGAGAATCTGTGACAAGACAGAAGACATGCTCACACTCCAATGCCAATGAGCTTACAGTGTTTTGCAAAGAGAGGACATTTTTAAATGTGCAAATTAAATGTGCGGTTTTACGCAAAAAAAACAACAAAAGACTTGTGGACGTGCCCGCATATAAAAGTACTGACTCAAGGGAGTTGAGTCAAATATAAAATATGGCATGCCACTCTTATATTTTTTTTATTTGTTAAAAATGTAAATATATGTATCCTTTTGCAGCGACTTAACAATGATGTACTACCATGTATTAATCCATCACATAAATGCCAGTAAAACTGATTTAAGTTTGCTGATGTAAAGTGAAACAATGTCTCTGAGGAAGCTTGATGCCACCTCACTCGGTTCCTGATGTTTTCTGGTAGTGCAGAAGTTGCAGAAGTAGCTGTTTATTTCTCTCATAAACAAACATCGGAATATTTACACACTTGCTTGAGCCACACTGGCTGATGCTGGAACGCCTTCACAGCAGATCAGCGATTAAAGCTTGTGTCAACCTGCTGGCTTACCCGCAAGCCTTTGGGTCCTCTGGTGCCGGCTGGCCCACTTGCTCCGGCAGGGCCCTAATGAACAAAAGAAAAAAAAGGGAATAAAGGGGGAAGGAGATGGGGTAAAAAAAAGGATGGAAAGATAAAACAAAGGTTTACACTGACAGACTAGAGGGCCCCCTGGCTATTGACCCCAGGGAGGGAGCAGCCTGACCTCGGGAACACAGTATAGGGTTTGTTGTTAGATCTGTCACTCACACCAATTAAAGAGCCCGCTCAGGAATCCTGTCCTGCTGCCCCCAAAGTTCCATGTTTATGTTTGTTTTGGTGGCTCAGTGGCCCCCACTTTGAACCGGGGCAGGGCCTGCTCTAAGCCACGCACGGGCCACAGTAGAGACACACCTCAGGGACGAGGGGGGCTGGTAGCAGCTTGTAGTTGGTTATAGGTGTTGGGTTTGTGACTGACAGGCGGATAATGCGCGTTCAGTGGGAGGCCGTCAAAGTTCATAATGCTCAGGAAAACTCTGCAGCATATTGGGAATTCTACCCTACATAATGAGATCGTCTACAGTTGCTGGACTTATAGTTCTAGTAAAAAGAGCATTCAGTGATTTTCTTTTGAGTGCAAAATAAAAAAAAGGAGGGGAAAAAAAAAAGTGATGACTTACTGGTCTTCCTGGTGGTCCAGGAGGTCCAGTCTCACCCGGTGTCCCTGGGTGGCCCTGTTGTGTTTGCACATATGCACAAAAGACAAAAAATTTCAACGTTAAATTACAAAAGAAAATGATAGAAAGGAGCTTTTGTGGTTTATTCACAAGACATATAGCTAAGTCTGCAGATATTACAGTATTTGGAAAGAAGTTTCTCCAGAGTTAATTCTCCAATTTGGAATTAATTACAGACGTGTTCACATTAATTTGGTGTAAATCAACTAGACTGTGCAGAGTTTCCTTAACAGGAATATATAAAATTTCCTGCTGGAGTAAGACTCTGTGCTTGAAAACAGATTTAATGTGCAAATAGAGAAAATCAGAGAGGGCAGAGGACAGCTTAAGGAGCTGATTTTAAATAAGAAAACATGCCACTTCTGGCTCCTTTTTTCTCTCGCTTCTTTTCTTTTTTCTTTATTTTATTGGACTCAATTTACCGGCCGGCCCATTTGTAAAAGTCGAACGGAATAATGGGGAATGTTTTGGTCAGACTCCCCAGAACATCTGAGAACAATAAAATCCATTCAGTCTGCTGGCCTCGCAGCGTAGCAGGCACCTCTGACGTCATGAGTCCACAGAAATAAAACATCGGCGCTTACAGTAAGAGCTTTCTGTTAACAGCTTCTCTCATTTTTAGTGATGCCTTCTTTTTCCAAAGGGTCTGTTTCTGCTTTGGAGATGAGGAAGAGAGCCAACAGAGAGCTTCCTTTAAAGTGAGAGTGTGTATGAGTGCTAATGTCCTCAGGGGAAATCCAGCTGGCTCTGAGCCAACAGCAGTGATAACTAAATCTTCCTCCTCTCCAAACAGTCATATACACTGAATGGTCCATAAAAGAAAAAAAAACAAAACATTAAAGTAGCCATTTTTCTGAATTTGAAAGTGGATTGTATGGGTTTATTTTTTAGACCAACTTGGAGCTTTGTCAAAGAAAGCATCTCAACTATGCCTCACATATGTCTAGACTGAATAAGCAGTTGTTGCTGTTGAAACAAAAGGGAAGTGTGTGCAGTAAAAAATCTAAAAATAAATCAACTCACAAAGGTGATATTAATTTATGTGCTTGTTTTGGCTTCGTGTGGTGGAAAACTAACACTGAGCATCGCCACGAACAAACGAGACTTGATCATAGCAGCACCAGGCTGCAGGATTGCTTTATTTTCTTCCCAGCAACAGTTAATAAGAGTTGATGGGAAAATGAATTGAGAAAATGGACAGAGCAATTCTGGAAAATAATCTATCAGAAGTTGAACAAGACATGACACAGGGAGAGGTTCACCTTCAGACACTATGGAATAATGTAAGACATTTGTGTTTTTATATCAATTGAATTGAGAATTTGTGAAAAGATTCAAAGATAATTCTTCCAATCCTGATAAAGTCTACAAAAAATAATCATCCAAAATGTTGGTTTCTGGATGTACAAAGTTAAAGGACCAATACTCAAAAAGTCCTACTGCTGAATTTTCAGCAAAATGTTGTTTTTTTTTTTTTTTTACAAAGCACTATTCTAGTAGGGCTGAACACAAATGAATACAGACACAATAATGCGCCACTTTCTGTTTGTCTATCACACATACAGTCTCCCCCAAATTAATAAAAAGAAAAAGTTTGTGGTTGCAGTGAGAACATTTTTAAAAATGATTAAGGAGTGTGGATCTTTTTACAAGATAAAGTATGGAAAAATTCAAGGATTTTCAAACGTGTCACATACAGTCACAGAATTAGAAACAAAAAAGCCCTGAGAATTCATAAATAATCTCAAGGAAAAGAAGTGTTTGTAGCTCCAACAGCCATCATAAAGGATCATGTCCTGCAGAACTCGGGACGATGCCAATACTCCTGCAGGACTATTCATTTTTTTTCATCTTTTTATTTTTTTTGGAAGATCTTTTTGGCATTTGGGATGATTTAAAACTTTCCGTAGTAATAAGATCCCAATAGCAAAATAAATCATTGTATGGGTTCTATTGGAATAACCACCCCTTTGTTTGAGTAAGTATTGCACCATTTACAACTATACTGCTTTGACCATATGGTGAACATGAGATGTAACAGTAAGGACCCAAATAACTCAAACAGTGAGGAAACTTTTTCACACTTGGATTATCATAAACTAGCTTAGACCTTCCTTCCAAGTGGGGAAAAAAATTATGAATTCAGTTTTTTAAACAGGCATTAAAACATTGTGGCAAAACAAAGCCAATAATGCATAAAGCTCACTTTGACGGACAGATAATTAACACAAAGTTTGTGACTGACTGGTGGCCATGTGAATTTGAAGAAATATAGGGGTTAGTTCTGATAGCTGCCCAGTAGGTGGCAGTGAAGGGAGTCACACTTCAGGACCAGAAGGTCAAGATGAAGAGCTGCGTCTTTTCACAACCCTTGTAATGCAAAGGGTGTCATGATACATTGTGATCTTTACTGATGAACCACCTTATGTCTATATTCATGTTTAAGTTTATGATTGAACATTCTGATGAGTTAAATTAATTTTTTTTAGTTTTTCTTACCGTTGATCCTTTTACTCCGGGTGGTCCGGGAAGGCCCATTTCTCCTCGGTCTCCCTAAAATGCACAAGTATAAAAGTTAGTTTCAAGTTAAGGGTGCATTTAGAAATAAATTGATCCATTTGTTTTCATTTCCTTTTTTTTTTTTTTGGAGTTTTACCTTCTCTCCTGCCAGCCCTGCCTCTCCCACAGGTCCGATGAAACCCACCAATCCCTGAAATGTAAAAATTCAGCATTGGATGGATGAATGGAAAGAGTTTCCTGGATAAGTGGCTGTGGGGGGGACCATCATTCAACACAGGAAGGAGCAATGTCAGGAATTCTTACTCTTTCTCCCATGGACCCAACTTTTCCTGGGACACCGGCTTCTCCCTGCAGATGCAAATCCACTGTCATTCATTGAGTTATTATGAAATATGCATCACTTCTGTATTTTTGGAAAATGGAAAAGAATGGTAAATGAGTTTGAGTTCATTCACCTTCACTCCCTCTGGACCAACCTTCCCAGGAAATCCTTTTCTTCCCATTCTACCCTGAAAAAAAAATAAAATAAAAAATCAAAAGAGCCATATGACTACTAACAGTGAGGAACCGACATTCACTGAGAAGTGAACGCATCGTTAACATTCATCACAAACGCTCTGTGAATGGAAAGGGTCTGTTTACGGGACCAGTTTAAAGAGAGATCAGTGGAAAATCTCCAGGGTGCATGCTGATTACATCGGCAGGTAATCCTGACAGGACATTTAGGCAGGCTGCAAAAGTGTTCAGTGACTGAAAACTGTTTCTTTTTTTTTTTTTTTTTTTTATGAACCAGCAATACCTCTAGGTCAGAAATGTCTCAGCCAAACTCCGTGAGACTGAGTGACTCAGTATTTCCAAAGTTTTAGCTCACAAAGGTTGGCAGCCGTTCTAAAAAAGTTAAATCTTACACTTTATTTCACTCAAACAGGCAATAAAAGTCAATTTAGGTTGCAATAAGAGGTTGAATAGTTGCTCTCCTGGACTTGTGACTTCCTGTCACTTGATTTATATTCATGTCTGCAATTTTATGACTAAACGGATACAAAATAATAATAATAATAATAATAATAATAATAATAATAGTGGAAAAAAAAGGTGCAGTGCCAAGAGGGAATGCAAGGAGCATCATATAAAAATGCACAGGCGCTGGAAAAAAGAAAGGTAAGGATGAGGAATCATTCCTGTTAGAGCAGTGAATGTGCAGGTCTACTCGCGGCACCTGGCCAGAGATAAATCACAGCTCCCGCAGGAGCCAAACAGTACTTCCCCTCGGACAGAAGACAAGAAACTGAGTCAGATTATGAGACAAGCAGGTGGGCGGAATGTGGGCAAGTCAATAGGGAGTCAGACTGATAGAAAGTGCAGAGAAAGAAAGATTCACCTGTTACATCTGGAATAATAATTAAGTCAGAAAATTAAATTGGAAACATATATGACCGAGTATGTTTTTTCATCAGTTAATAAAATGTCTGCAAGAAAAATAAAGTAAAAACTTATATTTGCTATTTCCATTTTCCAGTGTTTTTATATTCGCTTTAAATCTGAGTCATCTCTGAACATGGTGATGAACGCTATCACCCCCTGGCGGCCAAAGTGAAGGACTACACATGTTGTTATAGAGACTTGCAGCAGTCTCAATAAAACGGCAAAACATGCAATTTCTTTTATTTGTCCTGAGAGAGGAAGAGAGATAAAAAAAACTTTTTAAAATCATGTTATTGCAGCCCATGATTAAAAAAGAGGTACAATAAACGTTTCCATGCACAATTAAATATGAGTACTAAAACAGAACTGCAGTTAATAGACTGCAGAAGCATAACATTTTTACTGCCCAATTTATTGATTTCCCAGCAATGTTAATTTAAATTTACAAACGTTCTTTTTAAAATGACTTAATGATGAACAAACAACACAAGAGGACGGAGATTTTGTTTACAAAACTACAGTAGGAGTCATGTCTGTAATATAGGACAAAACTATTTAATAAAATCACATCAGACAAATTATTTAATGCAGGTATTTTCAGTTAATAAAAAAAGAATACCAGTATGTTTATCTTATGTGTTAATTTGAAAGGAATAACCAGATTTGTGGAGATTAAAGAGTGAGCACTTATCATATCTATCTGAACTTTGCATAATCCAAAACATATTCAGATTGATTTCTCATCTCACCTCAAGTCCTGATGGTCCCGGTGGCCCGATCGGACCCTCGTCTCCCTGGAAACAGAGAATACAGATCTCAGGACAGCTTATGTTTTTGGGATATCAAATGTTGCTAGCTGACGGCAGGGCTGGTGCCATGAAATGTTAGTGTCTTCCCTTGATGTTGGGTAGTGTCGGTCAGAATTACCTCCAGGCCAGGAATCCCTCGGGGCCCCGGTAAACCTCGGTCTCCTATTTTTCCCTTGATTGGGGAAAAATAAATGCAATTTCAGTCAATGCTGGGGTTTAAATTTGGGTTTTAACACACAAGTTTCCAGCCAAGGTACCCTGGTTCTTAAAAAGTTGATTTCTACAGAGCTTAACATTAGTGGAAATCCCTGCTGTGCTTCAACACAGATGGAGGGCAACTGCCATGTTCTGATTCGTGCTTTAAGTCATGCTTGTTGAAAGCTGGGCATGTTAAGTGGACAGTTTAACTCACCTTTGGTCCTTCGACGCCGTTCTCTCCCGGTGGTCCCATGTCACCAGGAAAACCCTGACCCCAACGATAAGAGAATAGACATCATTTTTGTTTCAGAATAATAATAAACACCCCCAACAGAGCAATCAAAGTGCAAACACAAACCTCTGGGCCTGGTGGTCCAGGTGCTCCATCAGGACCTTTCTCTCCTAGTTTCCCCTATTAAAACAGTAGAAGAATTTAATGAAATATTTTTGTGCTGGCATTGTCTCATATGCAAATGTGAAGTGCTAAAACTTTATTATATGCTTTTCCTTTTATCCATAGGCACACTGCATGAATACTAGGTGTGCTCAGTTGTCTACCAGATGACCAGATTTATATTCAAAATGAATTCCCAAGGCCTTAAAAAGAGCAACAGGTCCACAGCATCATTGATCCTCTACCATACTTAACAATAAGCATGAGTTTTTACACTAAACTCAGACCCCATTTGATCAGACACACTTATAGATAAAGTCTCAATATAGTTTGTCAGTTTGTAATGACAGGAGAGAAAACATTTTTTCCCTGACAAATCTCATAGATACACAAGCACAAAAATATTCTCATCCCTGGCAAAAATAGATTTCAAATTATTCAACTTGGAAGTTTGTTTCTTGAGACAGACATTAATCATAAAAAGCAAAACAATTTACACGGACTTCAAATATCAGTTTTTAGTCACATTTGATTAAAAATGGCAGGTTAATGACCAGCCTCGTCCATGTTCCCACTGGCATAGTGATAGTTTATCAAGCTACCTCCACAGATTTTCTGTGAGACTCACGTCTCACTGGGGCTCTTAAAATGCTCAGGAAATTCATGAATAACACATTTAAAGTTCCTAAGCATAATCATCAACTTAAAAGAAGTGAAGTAAAGATTTAAAAGTGCTTTAGTTACATTTAATTTTAAGGAATTGTCGGATCAGGTCAGATTAAAATAAAAGTTTTTTTTTTTTTTTTTTTTTTTACAAAACATTATCAGGTGTGTCCAATAAAAAAGATAAAAAAACTGACTACATTTAATATTTAATAGTAAATGTGCAGCACTTAAAAAGAATAAGTACAAAAAAAGGACTTTTATGCCAGAAATCACATAAAGAGATTAAGTCATGTTAGCTGATATCATTTTAAGCCTTCAGTCTATCAATCAAGATAAAAAGTGTTTCATAAACATTTTAACATATTAAAGTAATCTTTGAGAGTGATCAGATCTAACCTGTGGTCCTGGTTTCCCACGAATGCCCGGTAAACCTGGCGCTCCTTGGATACCCTAACCAGTGCAAACAAGACACATTCAACAAATAGTATCCAAAAAAACTTCTAAACAAAACATTTGATTCCTCTTTAGGGAAACAGACATTAGACATGCATGATTTTGCTCCATACTCTGTATCTCTTGAGGCCACTTAGGTCTCTGTTGCACTAGATTTTACTTACAAGCAGAGAGACAAATGTGAAAGACTGACAGAAGAGTTTCCATAAGGTGGACAGTAGACATCTGGCTAAGTCATTTTGTGGAGGCAGCAGCACAACAGCGGTTGTGTAATAAGGGATATTCATGATCAAAAGCAAGTGTGCACAGAAAGGCCTAATGAGGTTTAGTCAGTGGGGGGCCTTGCGAGGACCATGTGAGAGGATTTCCACTATAAAATGTGCTACAGAAGATGCCTACCTTATCTCCTTTGAACCCAATCTCCCCCTGCTGTCCAGGAATCCCAACGTCCCCCTGATATGCAGAGAATGATGCAAATGCACAGAGGATGACGAATGGATTTTGGACAAAAAAAAAAAAAAAAAAAAAGAGAGAAAAGTGCAAGAAAAACATTAGGGAAGTGGGCGTAATACTCTACCTTATAAATACTCTACTTTTTTCAACACACAAAACAAATTAGTACCCTATAAATCGCAACTGTCAATGCACAATGAATGTAGTTCAATGGATAAGCCAAGGTCTTCATGTGGTGTCAATATGTCTGATAACAGTCGCTTCATTCCACTGCACCATCTGTTTCAGAGAGTGAGTCAGATCTCACCAAATTGAGAATTGCAGCAATTTGCTCATTTTAGCTCCACTGTGAATGGAGACAACCAAAATGAAAGGTTTCTATTGCTGGTGGAAGACACGTTTTGAAATCTGTTTGGCTTTTCTCATTTTCTGATTTAACTATAAATCTTTTTTGAATCTTAGTCAAACGAACTTGGAGTGCTAGCAAATCCTTCACGCAATTCAACCGAACTCATTTCCATTCAACATTTGAAAGAAATGTGATCCAAAAGAACTACAAAAAAAAAGCCTTTTTTCTGATGTAAACATATTAGACCATCAGGAGTCACTTCATAATATTTTCCATCTCCAATGTGACACATATCCTTTATCAACTGAAATACAAACAAATCTGTAGTAGGGGGAAAACACAAAACAACTGTGACAATTGTTCTCCGTAACAGCTAAAAGGACAGACAAATAATGGTCACAGAGGCTGCCAAGAGGCCCACAGTATCACTGAAGAAATGGCAGGATTTTCTGATTAGCACTGTTTTTGTTCTACATGTGACAACAATCTACTGAATTCTCCGTTTGTCTGGACAAAGGAGCAGAAGTGAAAGGCAGAACCCATTTCTTTGAAACACCTGATCTTGGCTGTTTCTCAAGACGTCGTGCAACAATAGGCTAAATGGGCTGATGAACCCGAACTGTAACTTATGGCCGCAACTCCAAAAGGAAAGTTCTGGTCAAAAACAACAGTGAGCATCAGCAAATAAGCAAAATCTACAATATGAGACACAGAGGAGGCAGTATCATGCTGTAGAAATAACTTTCTTTAGACTGTGCAAGACTTTCTGACAAGATGGACTCAACTGTAAGCAGTTCTAAATAGACTGCTTAAGTTTTTTTTTCAAACCTGTTTTCCCTCAAACAGACAAGCTTGTTGTTAGTTCAGTCGAACAGGATAAAGTATAAATTCATATTATGTCACATTATGTGTGTAGAAAGTATTTCAGGCTCTTTGATTTTTCTGTTACAATAAAAGCGTGCACCTTTCAAGCTGCTCTAGGGCCAAATTCAGTTCAAACCAATCCAGTTCATTCCAATATAACTCCATCATACAGTTTCATTCAAATTCAAATGTAAATACATGAAGCCCAATGGCCTCTAATTCCACTGCAGCACAAGAGCATTATTTGTGCTTTTTTGTGTTGTAATAGTCTTTAGAAAGTGCACAAGCTTAAATTTTTTAAAGCTGATTTAAGAAGTGTGACTCAACTGATTGGAGAGCTCAACTGAACAGTAATTTTACAACAAGATGAAATTACCATCAACCCAAATTTTTATAGCTTCTGTGTAATATGGTGCACACACACATCTGTTTCAAAATGCTTCAGAATATGAAATGTTTCAAAAACTGATTCTTTCAATGGCTAATCATATTCAGTGTTCAGAAAGTTTAAGATTTCTCACAAATGCAGATCAGAAAAAATAATATGGCAGGCAGGTTCAAATAAAACCTTCCAAGAGTCTTGTTGTAACAATGTATAAAATAAAAATAAAAAGTATGTTTTAGTAATGAATTTCCAATTACAATGTGCTTGATATCTAAAGGCTGAGTACATTTGCATAAAAAGAGCACATGATAATCACATGCTGCATATAACACAGGCCAATAACAGGAATATTGAGATCACCTTATCACCTTTCAGTCCTGGTTCTCCAGAATTTCCGGGTACCCCCTGGAGAAAAGACCCACACGCAGGTTAGAGTTACAACATACAGTTTGCTCAGAGGACAACAGACCAGGAGTCAGTAGTCCGGGTCTTGGAGGTTTTAGATGTTTCCCTGCTTAAACACACCTGAATCATGAACTGGTCAGCAATTTTATTCAGGTGTGTTGGAGCAAGGCTACACATGATACATGCATGACGTCTGCTTTTGAGGACCAGGAATGGCCATCCTTGCGACTCCAACCATTCTTTTGTTTCATAGCACATGTAAGGCTGCCATTGACAAGCAACGCAAGAATGGACTTTCCGTCTGTGCGTTTCAGAGATTACCTTGAGTCCAGTCGGTCCGGGAGGGCCCATTTCTCCCACAGGCCCCATATCACCCTAAAGCCAGAAAAAAGAGGGGAAAAGACAATAACCGTTTAGTGATAACACATGCATAAAGTAGAGATAGTTTCAAAAATATTCCTTTGACACTTAGACAATGTGAACAGTATCTAATTTTGTTTATCAACTGCAAGAACAAAAATCATTGCTTCCAGATCATCCATGCACATATCACCCTACAGAGAAGAATGCATGATAATATGCGAACATTCACAGGCCAAGATTATGATTCATCTCAAGCCTGAAATAAAGGAGTTTTGGCTGCGTGTATCTAATGTTTGCCTCTTTGAATGGGGCTGTATCTCCATATGTGACAAAGTAGATTATTTAAGAACATGACATCGAAAAAGTCCCTAAAACAAATCAGATCCTCTGGCATCGAGACCTTAGATGGAGAAAAGCTTCTCCCTAGTTATCTGGGAACATCTAATGCAGATGAATGATGTCACGAAGCAGTGCTTTGAAAATGCAATTTTTGGGGGGCTTTTTCACATTTTTGTCATAATACAATCACTAGCATAAATGCGTTTAATTATGTCACTGATTTTTAGTCACAGACCAACACAAAGTAGCATATAGTGTAATATATTGTGAAGTAGAATAAAATGATACACGGTTTCCAATTTTTTTCACAAATAAAAATATAAAAAGTGCAGCATTTTGATTGGTTTATATTTTGCAGATGCATTAACTCAGTACAGTTACAGCTGCAAGTCATTTGACTTTGACTAGACCAATAACATTCTTTGATTTGATCCCTTACACTGTAACTCCACCCCAAATCAAATCTTTTGTTGCCGAGAACAGTTTTTCATTTTTTGGGACGGCTGTGTTTAGCTCTTCTCATGGACTGAGCTTCACTGTCTCAGCAGTCTACCATATTTCATAGAAGGGATGGTGTGTTCAGGAAGATGTGACATTAATTTTCTGCAATAGATGGTGTTCTACTTGCTTTTTGGTCTCATGTGACCAGAGCACATCCTTCCATACATTCAAAAATGGTTTTCTTTTTGACCAGAATTGTGGACGGTTAGCAGTGGTTCTGTATAGAGATCCAACCTGAGACTAATACATTTTCTCCAGAGTTACTATGGGAACTCTTGCCTGCTTTTCTGATTATAGCAATTATTGCGCAGTTTGCCAGTTTAGGAGGACAGCCTTGTCCTGATAGGTTTGGAAGATGCCCACTCCATTGTTGGATGAGTTAAATAATGCCCCACTTCATGTCCAGCGCACTGGGCATCTTTAGCTGGTGCATTTCTTGTTCTTCAGAATATTATTTAGTTCATAATATTTTCTGACAAACCTCTGAGATCTTAAATTAAATTTCAAAAAAGTGAACCTTCTGCATTTATTGGCCCATGGATTTATAACCCATAACCAGCAGATATCTTGGAGAAACCATTCACCATTATTGGAATTAGTGTCGAATTTAGCTCCTGCACATCTCGCCCATATTCCCATATTCCCACATCCCCACCCACTTTCCTGCCCATACCACATAGTGAGGAACACACCGCCAACACAGATACGCCCAACTTGACTAGAACCAAGCCAGACTTTAACTGAGTAGACTAAGACTTGGCAATGGAGAAGGGGCTTTATTAATTGATCTTTGAAGGCTTTTGTTTTGATGGGTTTTATCTAATAAGGGTGGCTGAATGCCAATGCATAGCATCTTTTTCACATTTTAGTTCTGAAAGCTTTTGGAAACCGTGCATCATGTTCCATTTTGCACTACTTTTTATTGATCTATCCATAAACCATGAAAGTTTGTGCCTGAAAAAGAAAAATATGTGGAAATTAAGGTGTTGAAATTTTTTTTTTCAAAAAGCTGTGAATTATAAGCTATATAAAATTTAGTCCAGAACAACCTGTGCAGCCAGGCTACAAAAAAAAAAAACAGAAAGAAAAAGTTACTTTAAGGACATGGCCCAGAAATTACATTTCTGACACTCGTAATGAGAGACAAGGAGAGACAACTTCTGTCTTTTGTATTTTGCGTAAACAAGAACAGCTGTCTAGACATTTTCGTCTTTCCTCGGTGGCCAGCCTTCATTTAAAGCTTTCAGCAACGACTCCCCAGAGGAGGGTGTTTGTATACTTAAATCATTTAAGTGTGGCTCATTGCTGCTGGTACGGCATGCAGTGGAGTCAGATGGGTGTAGAGGACATGAATGTGGAGTCGGAGCTATAATCAACCAGTCCCCCGATTACAGGCCTTCTACAACCGCTAGTGGCCTAGAATAGACCAGCTAGGAGAGACAGTGACAGCGGAGGATGGGACACAACAAGAGAAACCAGGGAGACATTATAATCAGGTCCAATTATGTGGCTGTTGGGTCAGAGAGGCATTCAGGATAAGGTGATGGGTGGGCAGCGGGCAGCTACTGGACAAAAATAGTTAATTTGAAGATGATGCACCTTGAGAATTTTGTTCGATTCAACAAACTTTTGAGAACTGTCAACTGTGTACTCGTCGTTTACAATCAATCCTGGTTCTGTGTTTCAAATATGTTCATGGCGACCTTCAGATTGTGGGCAGTTTATCACAAAAGTACCTGGCGGAGTAAAATGACGACGGGTTGAAATTTGCGGTGCGCTACTCACAATTAATCCAGGGACTCCGTTCGGACCAGGGGCTCCTAGGTCACCCTAATCGGAGAGGAGGGGAAAGATGGAAGAAGCAGCAGAGACACAAGTGTTATTGGCATTTAAGAAAAAAAAGGGCAACAAAAAAAAAACATGTTCAGAAGAGTGACTTAGTATTCACTGAAGCTTATGAGAGGCCGCTGCGTGCATGTATTGGTGGGTATGTATGTGTTAAAGGTGAAGGTGGTGTGGCATGTGAGCCCCATCATCTCATTCTGGCATTCTGAAATATTTAAATTTGTCAAAGCTCAAAAGTTAAGAAGGAAACTTTATGGATCACAAACTATTTATCTCAATGTTAATGGTAGCTTAATCCTTTCTTTAAATCCTCAAATATGACCAAAATTAATTTTCTTTTAGTCAAAAAAGTCATCATCTACCAGATAAGTTCAGTTGTCACTCCTATTAATTACAGACTCTTGCTTCATCAGTGAAGAGTTAATTTAGCAATGAAAGACCAAAAAAATAAACAAAAAAAACCATTTGTATCATTTAACGATATTTTGACCTCTTATTGGTTTTCTTTACAGAGGAATCTCACCATTTTTGTAATTGAAGTAGATCCTAAGCAAGACAAATAAATATTTGACATGCCTGATTCATAATTTTGCGTTCTGTGGTTCCCTGTTCTGCTTATCAATAAACATTGCATCATTTGCAAATGGTGTTTTTAGAAATAATTGAATAGATTTGTGTGTGTTTGTAAACGCATATGTTCGAGTATGTGTACACTTTATGTACATAAAAGATGTGTTTATTTTGGCTGTGTGCTGTGTGAATATTTTTGATTTAATGTGTAGTGTCTGTTTTACTAGTTGCTAAATAAATTTCTATTTTATGTCAACTAAATTTTAAATTTTTCCAGCGGCAGCTAAACTTATATTAACCACTAATATTATCAGAGCTGTAGATTTCTAACATGTTTATTTAATATTATTATTGAAATAATAAGAATCTAATCTTAAAATACAATTTAGAGTTAAATTACTGGCTTTCAAGAGCTGATGAATCAGAATATTTTACATTTTAATATTGTTCTGCTTCAGGTTTACCGGAATTGCTTCCAAGTGGCTGAATGTGTTATTTTGTAACCACAGGAAAAAGCATAGGAGCCTTTATTCGGCCAGGTGTCTGGCTGTGGGCAACAATGAACGGTGGAGGGGCAACCCTGTCTTACTCTCTAAGCTCCTTGTATTACATGGCCTTTGCAACAAAGGGATGAAATGACAAAAAAGTTTTGAAAGCATACAATTACGTATGCCCAAGTATAACTTCATGACAGCAACTGGCCCTTTTCTAGTTGGATGACAATACTTATTCTCAGAAAAATACAGAGAAAGAATCTAATAAGATGAGGCATTAGAGTAAATCCCTGATCTGGAAGCCCAAACCATTGGGGAAGTGAAGCTGGTGTTTTTCTCTAAACCTAAATGCACCTTATGTTCATTATTCAATTATAGGTGGGTCAAACTGCAAGGTGCTGGCAGGCTTGTATTTTTCCATTCAGGCAGAAGAAGTGGCACATTTGTAAAAATTACAGGGAATATCTAAAAAATACCATTTGCATGTGATCTGGAACGGCTGCATTGATGAATTACACGCAATTACTCATCCTGACGTCTTATTACATCATTTGGTGTTTTTGGATATGAGGTTGTAAAAAGGTCTACATGTGTGGTGGTGGACAGCTCACAGTGGTGAACGGAAAGGCCTTCGCTGTAAACTGCTCACCACTTAACAGTGTGGGCTTTTTGTAACTGAAAGCCAACTTAAATTATTTTCAACACACCAAAAGCATGGGATGAAACCGAATACACTAGTAAAACTTGTCCCCCGTAACTTCAAACAAGACAGAGAAGACAAATGGGTAGAAAGCCACATCATATAACCAGCAGCTAAAACACAAGGGGCAATGTGAGTCTGTGTGCGCGGCTCAGAGCTAAACTCTCACTCTCAGCTTGTGTGTGTTCAAATGTGGACCGGAAATGGTTTTACATGTGTAGTAGGTTAATGTGGAACATACTGGCTCTCCGTCTGGTCCAGGTGGCCCTCTCTCCCCAAAATCCCCTGGAAACCCCTGAGAACAGAGAACAACTTCAATTCTGTGAAACCATTAGGCATGTAAGAAATGAATTTGCTACCACTTGGTGGCGATAAAAACAAGCAATTTGGGCTTAGATTGATAGCGTGGCGCTTTTTTAAAAACTTGCACACGAATTACATATCCAGCATTTTACAGATTGTTGTCAGCTCTTACAGTATTAGGTTAGGTTTTATTTATTAATTATTTTGCTTAGTATTCGTAACTCGGTAACTTCTGTGAAACATATCAAGCAGTTAAAGGACTAGGTATTAGCTAAGTATGAAGGCATGGACAAATCTTTAGGCACACCTGCAAAAGACATGTAAAAAAAAAGTTTTTAAAACTAATATAAATTCTATTGGTGCATTTATTCAGCGATGAAAAAAAAAATTGCATTTTCATTTGTATTTTGCCACAACTCACAGTAAGCACTGAAGGAGGAGAAAAAAAAATCTCCAAATCTGACACAAAGAGTGGCATCTCTGGGCCACCAATAGCAACCATTAGATGATAACTCCATGCCAACCAGTTGCATCCCTTACATTTTATGTCCTAACACACAAAATGTAAACATGTGGAGTTTGCTAAATGCAACCGTGATTTTCATTGCAACTGCGTGCTTTGGTCAGAAGAGACTGACTGTACAGTGCAAGTAACTTTTGACCTTCATTTTACACAATGGCTTGCTGCAAGTGAACGCAAAGCAAATCATTTTGAGCTCCATTGCCATAGCAGAAAATTTCCAAATACTGCTTTAATAATAACAGAATCTTACAATTCAAATTTAGAGCAAACATTTACCTATTTAATCTTTTTTGCTGAACAAACAAAGCTCTGTTGCTGCAAATGAACTGTAATAATGTTACTTGTTCAATTACTTAAAACGAGACCGTTATGGTGCTATTAAAAGCATTAAATCTATTAACTTTAGGGTGTGGGTAGCTTGCTGTTGGTAACTTTAAACTTTGGATGGGGAGAAAGTGAGCCAAGCGATTATTCTGTCCACTTAGCAGCAATCGGGAGGCTAATCTAAGCTTTACAAAACATTGGTGCTGGAGCAGAGAGCAACCACATCTGCAAAAAGCCCTACCGCTAAGAGCTTTAGTACGGAGACGATTCAGCGCTCATAATGACTACTTTTCACTACACTGGCCTCAATGCATTGTTTTAACATGATAATTACTGTGACCTCCAGATAATGTCAGTTATTTCTGTAAGAGCGAAGATCCCCCAGATAAACTGCATGTACGTTTTATTTTAATCGTTGAGTCATCTTAGAAACACAATCTCCCCACTAAATGTAGTTCTTTGTGTTTGACATTTTAATTCGGAGCAAAATAAGTCAGGCAGAGATATTTTTTTTTAATTTTATTTAATAGAGGAGAAAAAAGGGGTCATTGAGACTCTCCAAGAACCAACAAAGAAACACGGAAAATAGGATCAGTGATTGGGCAGCTTGAAGAGGGAATGCAAGTGCAAACAGAAACCAATTAAGTGTTGGTGATTTTTGTGTGACAAAACAGACAGATGTGATGAAATTTTTTTTTTTGCCCGTATGCAATCCATTTTGACTTTTTCTGCCAATCAGAACAGTGGAAATCCAATCTTTTCACCCAGGAAAAAAGTCTCATTTGAGCCACGTCCAAAGTTTGTTTCTGAGTGTTTTCAAAGCGCCTGCAGTTAGATTGGTCATGTCGCATTTTATCCGACTTTTACCTCATCAATACGAGACACGCGGCATGCGCCCAGATGTGAATAATAAAACCATGAAATTATGAAAGAAGCACATCACATTCCAGTCCCACCACTCCTGACTCTGAATACACATTCAAACAGACTTCTCTACAGAAGTTTCAGTAAATGCTACAAAAAGTTTGTTGGTATTAGTTGTGCTTCATTTTTATAAGCTCCTTTCGTCTTGTTATGATCCTGTGACAATACTGTCAGCTCTCATTGCTCAATAGACTTCAAAACGTATATGGCTGGACCCTTTGTTACTTCTGGAAACATTACTCTGAGGTGTGACATCTAAGTTCTTCTTCTGTAGATGTGAGTTGTAAATCACTCATTCAGAGGTTTGATAGAAAGTTAAGGATGATGATAAATAGCTTAAACTTAAATGTTTACTGTGGTCTGAAATATTTCACATGATTTGTTCTCACTCAGGAAGACTTTCTACATCCATTCACCATGTAAACAGATCCTGGCTTTGTTATAAATAACATGACAATAGCTTGAAAGGCCACAAGGTTCACTCAAACCACTAAGGTCTTTTTAGGGATTAGTTATTTTCAGACCCCAGAGGTTAGTTTTGTTCTTGACTCTAAGCTGCTCATTAATTACAGCCTCTATCATAGACTTGAGGCCCTGTTCGCACCGAGCCGATTTTCAGAGAAACCCCAACATGTTTGTTACAATCCAGCTGCATGTTTACATGTCTCCAAGTGATCGGATTCTCAGACGACAAGACGTTTTGAAAACCAGGTCTGGGTAAAGGTTTTCGGGAAGTATTCTGGATTTGTCTGAAATTCAAATTCAAAAGAGCTATTTACGACAGGTCAGATATGAACTGTTTAAAACATCTCAGATAATCTTTTAAAAAATCTTACTTTAAGGAAACCTTCTCCCTCATGTGACATAGAAAAATACTTTCATTCAGTAGCAACTTCAAACAGATTCATGTACGATTTTAAAAAAATGGCACTGAGTTTGACAACAGGCAAAGAGAGCTGCCCAAAAAACAAGTTAAGATATATTATTTAAAAAGAAGCATCAAATGGAGAAGGAAAACTGCTGGCAATGTACTTCGGAAAGTTGTTGCACACTCTACCGTTTTCGATATATCTTGGTCTGTAGGAAATGACAGAATGTGTGTCTGCGTGCGTGTGCTTCCTTGAGAGAGAACAAGCGCTGCGGTTATGACCATTAAAATGTCTGGCTCAGGTTTGAGCAGTTCTCCTGTTTTTCCTCCTGGAAGACGAGAGCGATCTCTTAAGGATCATCCTGTCAAAAGCCCTCACGCTCCGTTTTTTCCTACAGGAGCAATTAGATGCCGATTCCAAAACCACTGAAATTACATAACTCCTCCTGACACCTTCTTCTCACCTCCTCCGTAAACACAAACAAAACGGCGGCTTTCATGTCGAACTCAGTGACGCCTCAAATACACAGCTACTGCTGTTATACATCATCTGCAATGTCCTGCAGGAGGGGAGCGATAAAAATGTGACGGCAACTCTTCTATGGGAATGTTTTTAGATTTACACGATCTGTGAAACAACCAGAAACATTTTTTTTATGGCAGAAACGTGTCAGTCTGCAAGCCTTATAGAAAACGTGTATGCAGGAAAGGCATTTCCAACGCTTTAGTAAAACGCAAACAAAGCCACAAAAATGTTATAATGCATCTATACCGTCGTCCTGAAGAGTTATGCTTCTATAGTTTAGTTGTCGCTTCTCAAAGCTTCACATTAGGAACCTCCCGCCCCTCTCATTAGAGTGTTCAGAAGTTTTGGCAACACAAATATCATATTTACTGAAAAGTCAATAAGCAACAGCTGCAAAATGATCTCAGCAATGTGTTTTGGGGTTACACAGTTCAATGCATTCTTTCAGACTGACTTTAAACACTATTTAACACAAAAAGTCTTCCAACAACCAGCAAACGAGTTTACTCCAACAAAAACTTGTTTAAGAAAAAGCAGTAACGTGTAGAAATAGTAGCTATACAGCACTCTCTGAAAATCTCTGACTTTGAGTTGCTTTGGATGATGGAAATTTGCTCTTGAATGCATCCATCCTCTGGGTTGTATACAGAATCCTCGAAACAGGTAGTTGATATAAGAAACTGTCAGCATTTCTTTTCCTGTCCTCACTGTGCATAGTGGCAAGATAAACATTATCCACTTCCAGCAATAGTTGCTTTGAGATTTTAAAATGTTGCATGAAGAGTTGTTATTTACTTGAAGGAATTCCTCACTTTTGAAGGTCAACAATCTTACTTGAAGAGCATGTTTTTTTGTCTTTCCTACTTTGAAGAGAAAGTACAAGAAATAAGCCTCTGTGAAGTTATATAAAGACTGTTTCACACTTTGAAAGGTATTACCTATGAAAGAAATAGAATTGTAATTACCATATTATATATATGGTAGTGGTACCATCATACCACTACCTTAAAAGATGAATTTATTTCAAGGCAGAGGTTTGGCTTAATTTTTACAATACAAAGCAATAGTACATCTCATGCCTTCTTTTATGTCCAGCAGCCTTAAACAATGAGAGCTTTCACAAGTCTTTAAAGGTTGCTAATTACGCCATAAAAAGCTTCTAGATTTGTCAAGAATTGTTTTGTTGCAAATGTCACTAAAGGGGTCTGAAAATGTACTAAATATTAAAAAGAAACTGGCAACAATGGCAACCTCTACTTCTACCTCAAATTTTGACTTCAGTGGATTTTTTGTTGATTTTTCTTTTTTCTGGAACTTAAAAATTCAAACTTTTGCCATATTTCTAGTGCCTAAGTATAAGAACAGCATTTTTTCTCTCAATACAAATGAAAGCTAAGTAAAAAAAACCCAAAACAAACAAACAAACAAAAAAAACTCTTGTGTTACTGCTAATGTGTAGTTCAGTGTGGCAGTACTTAGAAAACCTTTTTCGAAATGGTACTGGTTATGAAAAGTTGAGAACCTCTGCATTAGCATAACACGTCTTTGTCAGTATGATTTCCACCTGCGTGTGATATTTCAGTATTACTTTATGCAAACTGCAAACTTTGGTTCAAGTGATGGATCATGACTTATGGTTTAAATGTCTGTGAGGTATGGAAGTGGTTTTAATAAACATATACATATATATATATATATACACATAAAAGCTTATCATAACACACATGATCACATTTAAAAATGATTATCTGTAAAGTATGTTGAGACAAAACTTTACCGGCCTACCCATCTCGCCCCTCTTCCCTGGTTCACCCGGAATTCCCTGAAAATCCAAATGTCGAGAGGGAAGCAAGTGAAAAAAAAAAAAAGAGTTCAAGAAGGACAGAAAAGAAAGAAAAAGAAGATGAAGTCAGTGAAAAATATGCAAAAGACATATTACAACTGAAACACTCATGGACGACACTGATTTGAGCTCAAAACACACCATTAAAAAGCTGAAGTGTCTCCCACTTCATCTGTCGCCAGATGTGAGGAGCAGCTGACTGCAGCCCATTAAACATGCTTCCAAACCCTCATGGAGGGTTTTCGACACTCATATTGAGAACAACCACTAGTTTCTCCGGGGTAGACAGGCACTGCAGGGTTTATGACCCATTTTGTTGTCTGGTGATGAAGGGGTCCTGATTACAGCCTCCCTTGCTGTGACGCAACCCCCAACCCACCCGGATCATGCTTTGACTGGACAAATCGCTTTGTGTTTTCGAGGCTGTACACAAGCAGTGGGCGTGGAGATCAGGCAGTTCAAAGGTTTCCAGAGGGGGGTTTTATCATATGAGTCATCAGCACTCCCACACACCAACATCCTAGACAGCTGGAGATTACATCTTGTGTTATAACAACTTCAAAACAGCTGAATGGAATTGGCAGGAGAGCCATCGTTTCTTTTTTTTTTTTTTTTTTTTTGTATCTCAATGGGAAATTGCAGTGTCTTACAAAAGTGTTCATGCATGTCAAACTTTTTCACATTTTTGTCGTATTACAACCACAAACGTCGATGTCTTTTGTTGGAATTAGGTCTGAAAATATCAACAAGAGTTAGATAACAATTATGAAGTATAAGGAATGTTATTAATGGCTCAAAACCTTTTGCAAAATAATAATCTAAAAAGTCTTCAGTCTGACATCTGCTTGTAAAATCCTGTGCAACCAACTGCATTCAGAAGTCAAAAATAAAGACCAGCCATTAATCTTTATATAAATACAGCTGTGCTGTGGAGTCCTCAGAGGAGTGCGAGGGAACATTAGTGAAGAAAAAGCACCACAAAAGTTCAAGGAATACACAAGGAGGTTCAATAACGTGGAGAAGCTTAAGGCAACGGTAAGTTAAAAAGCTAAAAAATGGAAGGAAACAAAAACATCCACTTCAAAGTTTATCTCAAGCTGCTGCAAACATATACAAAAGGATGAAGATGTCTCTCTTACAGTACTACATGGTGGTGTCAGCATCATACGATGGGGATATTTGTGCACTGAACAGATTGGACTATTCTGGAGGAAAACAGGTTAAAGACTCAAAACACATGAGATTAGAGCGGATGTTGAGCTGTCAGCCGGTTAACTAAACATACAACCAGTGACACCTTGCAGAGGTTTAGACCAGGGGATGTTTCTAAAATGTCCTGGCCAAAGTCCAAACCTAAATTAGAATTGAGATCGAGCCTAAAAAAAATCCAACATGACCAGGCATGAGGCCATAGGCATTGTGTTCTGAGCCCGATCCGACCCGACCAGTTAACCCTAAATACGGTCCTGAGCCTGAAGTAAACCCGACATATTTTAACTAAGGTTCCACGGCTTTTGTGTTTAGACCACAAATTGGGTAAACAGTGTAAGTTCTCTTGTTTTAAGCTTTTGTTTAACGTCGTACTGCTCCATTTCGTTGTTTGTTGTAACAGCAGGACGAGCCAAGTGCAAATCAGTTTGAAGTTTGACTCGTATGATCTTACCTACGCTGCTTCTGACAGTTTGAGGAATTTCTGCACCCTACTTGCTTTCATTATTTCCTCAACTAGTTAAACTATCTACTTCTCTATTTAGACTATATAAGTAGATTAACACAACATTATGTCGTGCATTCATGTTTATATGCTGTATGTATCGCAGGCTTATTAAACACGCCACAGAAACCCGAGTCCAACCCGAACCTGATTATAAAGCAAATAATTCTGACTCAACACCATCCCCAAATTCAGTCTGGGTTCGGGTTGGGTTCAGACCATCTGTAATTGCAGCAGAATCTTATTTTACAAAGTGCTAAAAAAAAAGGATCCATCATATACAATCCCAGTAAAATACATAAAAATTTGTGGTAATAATAGAAAATGTGAAAGAGTTAAAAAATGTGGATTGAGGTTCGCTTGATCAGCATCTGACAATACTTGAGAGTGTGTATGTTTGAGAAGAACTCACTCTTTCGCCATCAGGGCCAGGCAGGCCGAAAAGGCCTGGGATTCCAATGAAACCCTGCAGGAGAAAAGAGAAGAAAGCAAGGGCACAGTTGTGAGTGCTTCGACCCTGTACAAGCAGCTAGGAGAAGAGCAGCTCCCTTCGGCTCTGAGGCTGGGTTTCAGGGCCCGACATTCCAGCATGGGGTGGGCTTCCATGAAGAACCAAGCCATGAGGCAAGTGTATATGCCCATGGACTGCATGGTGCTGGCTTCCACGATGTAGTCCAAGGGCACATACCCTCACGCCAGGGATCTCTGAAGATAACCGGGGGCGACACACTGGGCTGTCAGTGCAGTGGAGACAACACACACACATACACACAAAGGAAAACAAGCACAAACGTCACAGTTGAACTGTACGAGAACAGTCGAGATGCGTGTTATTGATGAGCATGAACCTGAGCAGGTTTACATTTGCAAAATGTGGAATATGCACCAAACGGGAGGGGAAATATGAAAAGGTGGCTCAGTGAGAGGGGGAGAAGGGACTAGAATGCCTCCTTAAGACAGCAGGGCCTCATACGGAGCTTAAACAGGAAATTCCAGCCTTCGGGGGCAGGGAAGACTTTGGACAAGCCAAGGAGAGCTGATAAAGGACCTTTATAGGAACACAACATAAAAATCACTTTGTGTCCCTGACTATGTTTCTTTCTGTTTGTAAGCAGAAGCTGATTGACTAACAGATTTTCAAACCGCTACTGTATGAACTAACACACTGTTTACGCCTTGTGTGAGGGCGCTACCTTTTTAGCCCACTATTAATAGCAGCGCTTACTGCACGGGTGACCGAGATTATGTTTATGTGTGCAGAGGTGGATGCTGGAGCACGAAGTACACGCATTCTTTTCATGCACGCATGCATGTGGATGTTGTTTCACTGAGCTAGACAAGCATGCTTTCATGCAGCACCGCATTTACAGCATAAAGGACTCGTGGTGTGAGGCTCTAAATAAAAAAAAGGAAAAAAAAAGTTATCTGGCTAAACAAAGATTTATGTGCCCCCTTCTACAAACACTGTGGAGAGAGAAGCGCCAATGAGCTGCCTGGCTGATCATTACATTCACTAATTACGCTAAAGCACCACATTTTTATAATTTTATCAGATAAAATCAAACTTTAATGCCACATTCCCTTACCCGAATGCCTTTCAGCCCTTTTGGTCCAATAGGTCCTGGTAAACCCTGAGAAGTAAGAAGAATGAATACAAATTTAACACCTTCATTTTTTTTTCTGCTCCTTACGTCAAGAGAACAAGTTTCAGTCTAAACCTCATTCTGGCTCTGGGATGCACGATCATTCAAATCTGGCTTCAAGCATTTATGTTACATGTTGATACAATATAAAAACATGACAACATTTCCATGCAAGGCAAAGACACATTCAAAATAATATGTGGGAAAACAACTCTATCTCATATCTGATAAATACTCCAGTTGAGCATCCCAGTAAGGGAGTGTTGCTGTTAATGTTGAACATTTTCTGACTAATGCAGGTAACCTGCTTAGTGTTTTCCAAGACTTTTTTCTTCCAGGTCATCTGACCAGTATAAGCTAATTCCACTCTGGCTCTCTGCCTTTCTTTGGCCCTGACCACAACTGTACCAGTCACAGCAGAGGATTTACTGCACCTGCCTGCCAGGATAACCTTTGGCACCTGGGCTTCCGATTGGACCCTGCTCTCCCTGGTGGGTAGAAAGAGAAAGAAGTGGAAGGGACAGAAAGTGGAATAGATGAACACAATTAACACAAATCCTAATCAAGCTTTTAATTCATAAGATATGGTCCAAGTTATAAGTCACATAAGGAGACACTTGAGGAGCTCCAAAGAACACTCAAACTGCTTTCTGCAAATATAAATGACTCATGTAAAGTATGCATCAGTGAAAAATGTCCCATATGAAACAGTTTTGCCAGACTGCGAGGACATTTTTCAAGAGGAATACATTTTTGGTAAACTGGAGATTTGACCAGACATGTACCAATGATTTGTTTGACACACTGCATGATTTTACACCTGACTGACCTTAATCTGTGGTCAGCAGATTGGAAGCTAAATGTCCTGGGTTTTGTCTAGTCAGTGATCGAATTTTACACAACTTATAATGACAATATTCCAGTATGAAAGTAGTTGCTGTGTAAAAAAAAACCCTCAAAGCTATCTATTTCCACTAAGTATTTTCAGCAGATAGTGAAGTAATTTAGATTTTCTAAGTTCTAGAAAATTTAAATTACTTCACTATATGTCACATAAATGAGTCAAAAATTAACTTTTTCCATTCAGATATTTCATTGAATTAAATTGTTTTTTTTTATTTTCAATGGACCTGGAAGGAAAACCATGTTTCAAAATGATTGATTTTTACATTTTGATGTAGATTCCTCACTAAAGTTGTCTTATTAAGGATTGAATAATATATGCTGTAATTGTTTTTAGTTTGGGTTTATTTATTAAACAATTTTGTACTGTACATTTTTTTCCTTATTTGTGAATGCAGATGTACTACAATGCCTAAACATTTCAACGTGATGTAATACATTTAAAACTAGCTTAAAATAATATAAATCAGTTTCATAACTCACTAAAGTAAATCTCCAGAGTAAATATATCTCTTTGCAGGGAACTAAATACTAAACAAAATATAACTTGCGTGGATTAAAGTTTGATTTGACTAAATTTCTGATCTTACTAAACCATCAGATGTTACATGCAAAAACAAAACAATTCAGTGGGTTGCAGTTCAATGTGTGTGCTACATTACAGAGATATATAGAGAACATTATCTGAATGATGGAAGCTGATGAACCTCCAGTTAAATTTTTTTGGCACCATGGACTGGCTCTGATATTCATATTGGATTACAACTTTAAACAAGGTTTATAGAAATGAAATTCTTCTGTTTTTTTCTGTAAGTATTGTAAATCATAAAATACATTGTTTCACTAATCAGGATGATTCCTACACTTCTCTACCAGTGATAACATAAGATTAAGATGATAGATAATTAGCTTTGTAAAGTCTCGCAATGCATCGTCAATCATTATGGATGTGCTTAAATTCACATTACAGGCATTGCCTTTGATGAAAGCTGTTCTTTTCTCCTCTCTTTCCCAAATGTTTTCTGTGCAGAAGCCTGTAGATGCTGATTAGGAGGTTATGCGTGTTTATGTAACTTCTGGAAAGCATAACAAACACACACTCAAAGCAGGTTGTGTCCGAATTTCACAGAGAACCAGTATCCATGTATAACTTCCTTTGACGCAGCCCACGCTTGCCACTTGCCATTCCCTCTCCTGGATAAATATAGTGCATAATGCTGCTAGTTAGAAGGAGACAAGGCTTTGGCCAGGGGTGGATTCAGATCTTTAACTGACCAGCAAAGAGGGTGGGAGTGTGTGAGTGTGTGTGTAAGAGAGGAGCGAAGGGGTTGAGGACTCAGCCAGACGTACTTTACAGTAACAAAGTCAGCAGAACTGCATGAGCACCAGCTGGCTTGTGTAGAGCACAATGCCAAACAGTTGTGCCTGTTAGTCAGACGTCGGTGCTATGGTGATTCAAACTGCAAAATCACACCATCATCATCCACATCATCATAACCAGCAGCAGCAGCAGATCTGTGGGAAACTGGGGGGCGTTTGAGGGAGGACACATGCAGGAGATATTGTTAAGAGAGAAGAAGTGCTCACTCTTTGTAAGGAGCGCAGCCGGAACTCCCTGAAATGATGATGTCATGGAGGCTTACTTAATTAAATCCAAGTTTCTCTACACTAATAAGGAATCTGAGTGTTTATGCACTCTCAATGCACTCATGCAAGATAGAAAAAAAAGTCAAATAAGCTTAGCAGTGAGAGAAATGTTGCACAGTAAATTATCTGTAGTCACAAACGTGATTGTTTGGATGCTGGCAACAGCAGGAAGACAGAAAAAAATGACAATGGGGAGAGTTTCTACAGGCTGCAACTTAATAGCCATGAATGTGTCACTGCTGGCCTAGTTGGCGTGTTCTGGTTTCTCCACTCTATTTTCTCTCTCTCTTTGGCATCACTTTCTAATATCCTGAGGAGCGTCACTGCAACACAGTGCTACAGCCAGATGTGAGTTCTCACCAGTGCTTCATAACAGGCTAATCTAATCTGGCTTCCCTGCAGGCAAAGGCAGGGTCCTCACACACACATACACAAGCACACAGAGACAGATAGAGAGGTCAAACAACTATAAATGATGACTAAAGAGTTAGAAAATGAATGTAAGACTGAGGGATTAGATTTAAGTCAAGTACGCAAGATGAAAGCAAGACACTGATGAAAGCTGTTGAGTGGATCCAAGACCCTGTAAAAAACTGTACAAATGGTGCACTGAAAAAAATACCAATACATGATGAATATTTTCACATTTTATAATGTTATTGATGAATATGGCTACATGCTTCTCAAGATTTTCCTCAAAGCAAAATATGAAAAGTGGACATGCTTTTGCAATCAGCAACACTGAGTCCACATTTTGTGGGACCATCTTTTGCACCACTAGAGGCTATATTTCTCATGTTTCTTTTCTGAGCTCAGACTAACTTGGATGGCAAGCATCCGTGAAGATCAATTTTCAAGTCTAGACACAGCTTCCCAGTTTTATTAAGTTCAAGACTTTGACTTGGCCATTTGAGCGTCTGAATGTGCTTTAATCTTCACCACAAAGTTCAGTCTTCCAGAGTCTCACAGGTTTTCTTCCAGGTATTACTTTTACCTACTTTTCCTTTAATTCAGACCTGCTTCCCTGTCCCTAAATATAAGCTAAATATAAGCATCCTTACTGTATGGTGTCACCACCACTGTTTTACTGAATGGACAGATTGCTCTAAGTGATGATTCAAAGTTTATTTCCCAAAGCACAGGGGTCGACATCTCATCTAATAAGAAAAAATTCATCCACATGTCTGCTCTTTTCCCCAGGTGGCCATAGTTGCCCTTAGCTTCATTTAGGAGTCTCAGAGTAAAGGGGACTGAATGCAAATGCATGCCGTGCCTTTTACATTTTTCTTAAAAATACAGAATTGTGATTATTTTCCAACCAATTCAAAATCATGTACTACTTTGTGTTGGTTTATCACATAAAACCCCAATAAACAGACAGCGAATTCTGTGGCACCAGGAGGAAGATATGTAAAAAGAAAAATCTGCCAACTTAAAGTCAACAGCATGTGAAAAATAACAGGAACAAGAGTTTAAGCATGCATAAACTGCAGAAAAATACATACTGTCTCTCCAGGAAGTCCGGATGGACCGGGGTATCCTTTCTGTCCCTGGAGAAACAAAAATAAGAAAAGATGAGTGTGGGTAGAACAGATAAAAAAAACAAAGTAAGACGAAAAGATTTCCACTTCAATTATGGCACATGCTTGGAGGGTTTCTCAAGTTGGTGAATGGCAAATTTGCAAAATCTGCAAAGAAAATGCATGTTAAAATTAACAACACCGACAGACCGGTTTAGTGCCATATGCAAGAATTCAATCTGCTCTTCTGTCAAAGGATCAGAGTTTCCACTGGCTGCGTTCACAGAGTTTTGGTGCCAGGTTCATGGCATGTTGAGGATATAAATGCCTTCCTGTTTGAGTCAGATATCAGGACTCCCGGACTGCGTGCAGGGCAACTGCAAAACGAAAGACAACCCGATTGTGTTTTTCCACAGATCTGCTGACTCCAGAAACACAAACCCCAGTCAATGAGTGTAGAAAAACTAAATAAAATGTGGGAGGACATGCCACCGCAAACCACAGCTTGAAAGATTGAGAGAACAAGGCAGAAACAAGGAGAAAGAGAGAAAAAATAAAGTAAAAACAGACATGGTAAATATGGAAAAACTCAGTTTGCCTGGGTTCAGAGTAGCTTAAACCATTTGATTTCAGCAGTAGAAAAGGGATGAAGTAACCAGGTTGAAAGTATTTTAACCTGGTCAATATCGCTGTCTTAGAGGTTCAGGACTTTAAAATATCATCCTAAACATGGATCTCAGCTTCTGATTAGCTGCTACAAAATGTATCAACAAAGCAATACTTTTGAAAGTAAAACTAAGAACAGTTCTGCAAAACACATGAAAGACAAAAAGGATTGAGTCCCACCATCATTCTTAAATCGTGTGATCTTATTTAAAAAGCGTCACTAGAAGTCAAGTGAACTCAGTAATGGAGGAGTGGTACATAAAGCAAAGGGAGAGATTAAAGCAACTGCAAAAAAGAAAGAAAATGATGATGGGCCAGTTTACATGCTAGCTTTTCAATTCATTTCACACACACACACACACACACACACCCACACACGCATACACACTGCTTGTGCAGAAAAAAAACTCAAAGCTCGCATCCCCAAATCAGAGTTCTAAATCTTTAGAGCTGATTCTTATCCTAAGAGTATAAACTGTGCACACCACATTGTGGTAAGATTGAATAAATGTTTATTCAGCAATGAATGGTTTGTCTTCAAATTTCAAAGAACCACCAACAAATGCACTTGCATGATATACGTCTGTGTCCGTGAATTAGTACAAATTATATAATCTTTATGTCCCAAGAAGAAATATTCACTATTAATTCGTGGATGGGGTGAAACGTTGTGCATTTTTCGACCCCATAAAATAAAGAATCCTGCATTTAGCTCTGTAAACAATTAACTGACAGAGAGTAAAACTTTCAGTAGATGACAGGAAGGCTATTTTTTTCTGTTTTTGTCCTGCAGAGTTGTTCTGTTTTTACCATTTGAGGTTTGAACCTCTGTTCAAAAAAATTAAGTGCTAATCGCCCCAGAGGAGCGGAAGGCTATAATGATGTTCTGATGTATTTTTATAGTTCTGAAAGAGAAAATAGTAGATTTTTATGACTGAACTAAAACTTTACAAAAATCTGATATCAAAATTAAGATTTCTTCACTTTTTGAAGAAGGTTTATAAAAATGTTAATTTAAATGACTGGGACGCAAAAAAAAAAGAATAAAACAACAACTCAGTTTTCATGTGTTTTGAACTGAAGTAGGACTCCCTTAAAAATGAGCATGCTGTGATGTATGTGCCTCTTTATTTCACATCATTTTAGATTATATACCCGGCGGTAGAAACATTTACAAGGTCTGTTTTCCCAGGCTGATCAAAGAACCCCCAGCACACACACATGCAAACACATGCTGTGGATCCTGTGCATTAACTGGAGCCTTCAACGCTAAGCCATGTCGTCTCAGATCCTTATCTCACTCGTTATTATTTTTCTAATGAGCGCATCCATTCCCATCAGCGCGAGTGTATTTACAGTAGCACTTGTTTAACAAGCATGTGTGTGCAATCAGATCAGCCCTACCAGAATGCTTTTATTTTGCAGCAGCTTTCCAATAACGCCCTATAACCTCCTCAGTTATAGGGAGTGCTGCAGGCAGGGCAAAGCACATTTTTGCACAAAGAAAATTGAAGACACATTGCGTCTACCCATGATAAGATAAGGGAGGCTATTTAGTTTCTCTTTTCTGTACACATTTGACTGCTGGGATGCTCAACTGAGTGCAAGCTTGTTCCTACACTAAAGATCACACTTTACATTGCACTGGTGGTCTGCCAGATAAACACCTCATTCATTTAAGCTTTCATCTCTCCAAGATCCATGAAGGCATGGAGCCAGAAGGTCGCTCGGTAATTATCTGGCTCCTTGCACGCTTGCATGTACAGTAGAACATAAATGTTGATGTCTGCCTGGAAGAGATAAACAGCCTGAACTAAATGGACAATTTGGATAAAATTGAGCTTTTAGTGTTATCATTACAGCTACATCACTGTAAGTTGAAGTATGTTTTCCAATGAGGTTCAATTGACAGATTAAAAGTACCTATAATTTGAGTATATATTGCACGTACTTTTCATTGATCCCAAATTTCTGTGGAGAAAAAAACTTTTCCTTGTTGGTTTGATATAATCTAATATTCTGATATTTTCAGAAGTTAAGTGTGTTTTCACAAACTGTAAGCAAAGATTCATCATAATTCACAAAAATAAAGGTTTGAAAATATCAGTGTCTGTGTAAATGGACTATATATATGTTTTATTTGAGTTAATTCAGTAACTGAAATACATAAAACTACATTTTTTCAGAAAAGTCCAAATAACAGGTTTCCAATAATTTTTTCATTTAAAAATGTCTTACTCTTCCAGACTGAGGTTTGAGAAGCAAAATCAAAAATTAGAAGTCCAAATGCTCTTTTATTTAATCGGAGCAAAGGACTTTTCTACAAAAATTAAGGTTTTTGTCAATGACAGTGCCAGCAAGGTGTGTTAAAATACTTCAACAAATGTGGCTCTTCTTAACTTAAATGTTGTAAATTAACCAACTGGAATCTTACAAACCATGAACTCAGAGTCTGGACTTTCTTAAAATGCGTAAAGTCATCGAAAAGTTGAAGAAAGTAATAAAATTCTTTAAAAAATATATGCATATTTCTTAATTTTCTGGCAATTAGGAAGAGTAAATATAATTTACCAATATGTACCATTGTAACGTAATATTAATCCTGATAGAGTTGAAACAGGAAAGGTTTCATTTGATTCAATGTCAAACAGAGAGAAAAGGCGACCAGCATTGCTTAAAACAAGGAGCAAGAACACGATGGGAGTTTTATTCGAAACAGGTTTTGAGAAGCCACAGAGAAAAACCTGCAATGCATAAAAAAATGGAATGATTGATGAGTTATTTTAGCTTCTTCAGGGACATTACATCAAATACTTTTACTTATGTTTTATGGGGTAATCTTTCTGGAATCGCTAAAGTTCCTCTTTGCATGAAAAATCATTGGCTGTAATCCATTTAAAAGCAACTGAGCTTACCCCCCTGCAATGAAAATATTGAGTTCTTTTTAATTTGCATGCAGATTTGTAATTTTGGAGACTATTCTGTTAAAAAGTCGCAAATGATGTACATGAGAAAAGAAAAGAGGCATGTCGAGTTGCTTTATAACGCAACCTAAAAATAACATGCCTGAAGGTGGTCACTGTTTTTTACAGAGCTGCCTAAAAAAATGGGTACATGGATGACATATCTACATTATTTGAAATGCTATGAAATGCACATCATCTTCAGGAGGGAAAAGCTTGGATAAGTGAGAAGAGACAGCTTATGTAGCAGAGAGAGAGGAGACGCAGCCACATCGGGGAGAAGTGTGGCCTGCATTGTGGCCTTGTAGCTGAGGTTTGGCTCGCAGCATGTCCCCCTCTCCCTGACCCTGCCCGCCATACTGAAAAGCCATTCAGGGTCTGCTTACTAGAACAAATGTTGTACAGAGCGGAACATGCTCGACCTGGCCAGTGGTGTAAAGTCACACTCCACTATGGCGCTTTTAAAGCACCGCTGCTTTCTCCATTAAAGTTTTCCATGAAAACCTCACAGCCAAATTCCTGAATTCCCGCTCGTAGCATCAAGCATAAGGCAGATTTAGGGTCTGCTCTGTTGGGTGAACTGGGGTGGGTGTGCAACAGTGTCTTGAAAAAAGGTGGAATGGAAAAAAGAAATAGAAAATAGCGTATGTTTTCCCATTGTCCTCGACCACAGAACTCAAAGCTAAACAGCAGGGAAGCTATGCAGACAGCTCTGAGATGACCTTCAAATGACATAACTATAAAAGCTTATGTTTGTTTTGAGTATTTCAGTGTATGTCTTGGTGGGGAAGACCTGCATCGGAACTTTCCATCTGAGCCGTCTATGAAGAGAAAGAACAAAGACGCAATATAACAGCAGAGTCAGACGACTGATTCATGCATTTGTCATTGGGTGGAAAGTTGTCAAAAGTGGAGCTACAGCTGGTTCCTGTGTATTGTTCTCTGCTGAGTAAACCTTTTTGCATCCTGTATGGAAAGCTGTTACCTTCTTGGGGTTAATTTAACAAGCTTCCTTCCGTTGAACAATACCTGAGCCTTACTCGAATGAGGTCAGCCCATTTGAGTGTATGTTGTTAATGTTGCTATGGCAATAATGATCCAGACGCCAAGCTATTACGTCACTCTGATATGTAGCAGCTATATTTTGCTTGTGCGGTTTACTAAAGAGAAGCTGCAGAGCACTTAAGCTGCTGTGCATGATAAAGTTATTTACACTTCATCCTTCTTCCTGATTGATGGTCTCATCTATATAGTAAGCAATAATTTTGAACGTGATTGAAGTGTTAACATTCATGATGCTACTCAAATACATGAACAGGCTTTGATTTGAGCCATTCTTTGGAGCTCATGTTTAGTTTTTCCCTGCTGGAAAATCATCCTCCATCCCAGTCATAAGTCTTTCGCAGCCTCTAACCAATTGTCTTCTTGTGATGACAAACCAAAGATCCAACTTTTTTTTTTTTACTGTTTTCTTTCAACATTGCCTTTCTTTTTATCAATCTTTCAAAGGTGGAAATTGCTTTAGTTCCTGACTGTAAGTTGTTCTTTCAGCAGATTATCCTACCTGAGCTGTAGATCCCTGCAGCTCTTCCAGTCACCATTGGCCTGTTTGCAAAAGCTTGCCGCACTTTTCAGAATTTTACTTTTGTTCTACTTCAAAGTGAGGGACTGCCCTTTGTCGGTTTATCAAAAAAAATCCCACTAAAGTAAGTTAAAGTTTCCAGGTGAAACATGGACAAATATCAGAACCATTTGAGGGGTGTAAATACTTTTGAGAAACATGTTATATGAGCTTTACGACATGTGAATCGGTCGTCACTGTCAACTTGATTGATGCATCACTGGCTAACCTTCCAATAGGCCTTAAAATCACTTCTATCTCGCTTTAAAGGAATCTGTAAATGTTTTCCACTACCCTAATTTCTTTTCCATTCTGGCTCAGTGTGTCAGTGTGGGTGAAAGAAAGAGGTAGAAACACTCAAATAGACACGCACACACATAGGGAAAAGCAGGCTCTTAACAAAAGCCACATGTTAAGCTTGAGGTAAAAGAAAAAATAATCTGCTGGAGTCTGACACTCATCCATACACTATTGTGACTCTGGGAAGAAAGGTACTACATGAGGACAAGCTTTCCACATCTACTGAAATGCACATAAGTGGCCTGTTGTATTCAATTACCCAATAATGCTTTGACTTTGTTTGACAAGGTTGCATGAATCAGCTGTAACCAATATAAAACGTGGCTGGCAGTGGTTCCTCTTTGCTTCTGTTTGTTTGGAAAAAGACAGGTCCGGCAGTAAGAAGCACCAAAATACACTGGGGGAATGTGGAATCAATTTTACTTTCCCAGTTGCATTAATTTCAATAAACTGATTTCGGTTTTTTGGGGTTTGTGTCAAATTCTTATTCAAAGCAACCGGAAGAATATGAAGCAGCGTGGGTCTTTTCAATGTCTGCAATACCAACATTTACATTCCAATATGACAGTTGATAGACCTGGCAGACAGAAACATAGCCAAAAGTTGAAAAGATGGATGTTGCCAAGGCCATGTCTGACTAACTAAAGATGTTTTGTTAGTTAAGAGAGAGTGCTTTGTGCAGCTCCTCAATTCTGTTTTAGGAACTTTGATAATATGAAAATTTGATTTGAAACTGCACAATTTGAATCTTCCAATTCCAACTCCACTTTTTTTTCTTATGGAAAACCCAAAGTGTGTAATTTCGAGTGAGAGCAGATTGACATTATAGTTTTGGCTGCTGAAAAATATAGTCTTCCTTTATTTGTCAAAAAAAAAAAAGTCCTTTGTGCTCTGCGTAAGAACCCATCTCCACAGAATCTGGCGAACATTCAAAAACTAAAGATGCACAACAGGAGAAAGAGAGGAGAGAAGCAGGAAGTAAGAATCTTTACATACCAAACACATCATTCTGACACAGCACTGGCACTGAACGATTATGAAGTGACGCAAGTGACTCATACAGAATCTGATTCCAAGACTCTTTCTGTGACATTTGGCTGGTGTGCTCACGTACAATAAAAGCTGGTAAATGGTCAGCTAAGGACATTTATTACGTATGAGGTAGTTATTTAATTTTACCTTTCGGCCCTCTTGTCCAGGCTGTCCAACAGGGCCAATAGTCCCTGAGTCTCCCTGAAATACAATGCAAGAAGATCAGTGAGGACAAGAAAAGACGAACGTTGCAGATCAGTAGGAGCCATAAGAGAAGACATACCTTCTCTCCTTTAGGTGCTGGGCCAGGTGAAATGCCAGGATCTCCTTTTTTCCCCTGAGAACAATAATTTTATATGGATTAAATACATCCAAATGGTAGATATTTTAATCCCACATAAAGAAATCACGAAATTATACTATTCTGTGAAAAGACACAACTTAAAGTTACACAGTAAGTAAAATTCATACAATAATAGGCATGGATTTCTTAGTTGATTAAGAGCGGCTGCAACACACACATACATACCAAGCTTCATCGTCAGCAGGTAACAATAACAGGGTTTCAGCACATCAAAGCAATGAATCGGAAATTACACCGACTGGGTGCTGGCTCCCTCTCGTTGCCCTTCGGGCTGCCAGCATTTACAACTTTGCTTCATTTATTAATGATGAAAGGGCAAAAACTGCAGTGACCCCCCACCTTACCCAGACATCAAACACCTCATAATCTTCTTTTCAACTCACTTAACAGGGTTAGAGGAGTATAATCTCTGCCAGGTTGCCAAACAACAAACCTGACTGATGATTCATGTGGGGGGGATTTTAAATCCTCACTCATGATCATTCTACATTGCTCCTTTTTCATTTTTTTATTTGAAAAGCTAAAACTGAGCTGTCTCAGGAGTAGCTTGACTGAGGGTGAGGATGTTAAAGTGGGAAGATTTATTATCTCATGGCAGCTCAGACTACAGGATAATATCTTAAAACTTTTAGAGAAGTTTTGTACAATGAACCTCGTCAATGTGTGTAATATTGGATTTCATTAACAACTGGTGTACTCAAATCACAACACTGACAACTAAAAAAAAAAAAGCAAGATGAGTGAAACATTCTTTTAGAAGATGTTGAACCTGGCAGTCATACTGTAAAATAAATACGATTTCACATCCATAAATGAAACAAGTCTTGGTGTAAGGCAACACAAGATATGCAAAACAGTTGCGACTCTCTAATGATTCACGATCTTTTATGAGGAACAAAATTAGACTGTTTAATATTAAGCAGATGGCTATAATTGTGTTACTGGTTCAGTGTAAGGCCCCTTTTGAATTACAACAATAGAAAGGTAAGAAAGTCTATCAGTCTGCTGTCTTCTGTTGACCCAGAACTAGATCTGCAGGTAACAGGTCCAGGGGGAAACCCAAGGCATCCCTCCCACTAACCCTCTCCACTATATACTTAGGGATTGCAAGGCGTTTGCAGACCAGAGGTTAAGTACAGCCCTTCTGGTGTGTTTTGGGTCAACCCTGGGGTCTTCTCCCAGTGGGAAAACTCAATATAGAAGTGTTTAGGAGGCACTCTGATTGTCTGCCTGAACAAAACTGATGCAGGGACTGCACTTCAAACTACTCCATGACGACAAATTCACTTTAGGTGCTTGTATTCAATACCTCGATATTTTCTTGAGTGTTGTTCCAAACACACAAAGTCTTTGCTAATGCATACAACATTTCAGACCGTTATGGAGGATGCAGAATTTGTCTTGGGCAAGGTCATCTCCTTTTCACACGTTAAAATAGGTAAGATTTATTTGGAGTTCTTATTTTCCGACTCTTAATGTCTTTCCCTGACACTTGGATAAATCATTTCAACCCCCCCTTGGTGTCAATGTACTATTCTCTTCTTTGTACTCAGGTTACGGTAGAAGCACAGAGTCAGCCTTCATACAGAAACTGCAAAATCTGTGCACGGTTTTTTAAACTTATTCAAACATTGGATAATATTGTGTCAACAATTAAAGCCTAAAATAACTTGAGTTCAGTTTGGATATTCTAACATAGGCGGAGTGGTGTTAGTGAGTTAATGAGCTGTCAAGTATCGTGGCTTTGCTGTGAACTTTAGTGACCCCACTTCTGCAGCAGTAAAACTCCATAGCCTTGTTTTCCTTAAAGCTTGCACACGCACACACGCACACACACACACCTCCACACCCCCCCCCCCCACACACACAGAAAATAATTAATATGCAACATGCCTTTGCAGATATACAGTCAAATTAGGGCAGATATAAAAGCATGGTTTACTGTTGTTTTTTTTAAGAACAAAATGATTACTTGTGATTTTAAGTCTGACTAAGACCGTTTACCTTTAGTCCAGGTGGACCAGGTCTACCAGGATTCCCATGAGGGCCAGGTTCGCCCTAGAAAAAAACATCAGATGAAACAAAACACATAAAAAATATTGTAGGATTCTTTTCAGTCTACAAGTAAAAATGCATGATGTGTGCCTTTGCCATAGCAAAGACAAGATTAAAGAACGTCTGGAGAAACTAAACCATACTGCTAATATGTTTTAACTTTGTGTGTGTGGGTGGGTGTGTGCATGTGGTATTTGGGGTTGATGTTGCAGGGGGGCTCATGGAAAATGGGGCTCCCTGGAGCCGCTCCAACATATGGCTGTGTTTTCCTGTCCATAGTTGGCTCATGATCCAACCCCCACTTCCATACATCCAGCCACAAACAAACACACAAGAGCCAGGCAAGTTAATGACTAATGCTGACAGTCCAATGTCACAGACTTGCGAGTTTGAACTTCACCGCAGATCTCTGTCTGTCTGCGCTGGCAGATTATGAGGAGATGGACAGAAACAGAGCAAGATCAGTCATGGTAGTGCATTGGTAATGTGAACCCTCACAGTCTATCCAGCACCCCCCACCCCATGGGAAGGTTCAGCAAAGAAACTTTGGGAGCCAGGGAACGAATCCATAACTGCTTTTGGGTTTGAGCTGTTGCCTGCAGACAGGAGCGTGGGGGGTGGGCTGCACAACGCTCATCAACCCGTCTGACTGTCTGCTTTCAGGAACCCTGAGAGAGTCCTTCCTGTTGAATTTCTGACCTCCCCCCTGTTCTCTGTATGTGATGTGGCACCTTAAGGCCCCTAACCTATCCCAGTTCAGGGGTCAAGGGTTGGCTGTGTTGAGTGTAGAAGAATAGCCATGAGTGCTTGAGGAACTGGGTCAAACAAACAACGAGGCTTTAATGGTCAAGGTCTGATCAACTGCATCAAAAGCCGACACCAACTGTCAACTAGACTCTCAAAGACCCATTTTTTCCAAGTGAGAGAAAAGAAAAACACTTTGGGGTTTGGACTTGACTATCCAGTGCCACAAAAATGCCCTTTGAGAAAAATTCAAAAACAGACTTTTTGGTTTGGTGCAGACAAGACTGCATAAATCCGTTCTGCTGTAATTGATCGTTCTGTCAGAAACTGATGACAGTTTTGTCTTGATCACCTAAGGCAGAAAATTTATTTATATACAAGAGATCTTCTGTTTTTTGCACATTTCAAAAGATGAGATTGTTTTCTTATTGTGATGTAGAGTCAAGATCAGGATTTTTTTGCCAAATCATTCATACTCCATCAACTTTTGCCAATTTTGACACTTTATTCCACAAAATCCAAAGTACAGTATCTCACTGTGATTTTAAGTAACAGAGCAGCAGAAATGCAATGGAAAGGAGACAAATACATGTTTTTCAAATATTGTACAGTTAAAAATACGAGCATTTGTGTTCTACCATTTAACTTTGAACAGGTGGACTTGTTTTTAGAAGCCATCTACAGAATAAATAAAGCTCACATGTGAGTTATTTAATATCAGTATAAACACAACTGAAACACACCATGGTAAGGTCTGCTCACCAGTGAATAACAACTGCAAACCTAAAGTGATCGTCAGGGCATGAACGGCATCAATCAAAAAACAATCCCAGAAGCTCATCGTAACTCTGGAGGAGCTGCAGAGATCCACAGAAATATAGAGGACACAGCGACAATTCGCAAGAAGATGTTCTGATCAGATAAGATCCTGACAGAATAACACTCAGGTTTGAACAATGCACCACTCCCTGAACACATCGTTCCCAAAAAGTGCAACTTTGCAGTGGCAGAATCATGCTGTGGGGATGTTTTCTTAGGTAGGCAAAGAAACGTGGATGCAGTTAAACACAGAGCAATCCTGGAAGAAATATTTTGAGACTCTCCAAGATTTATGTCTCTGTTGAGGCGACACACTTTTTAGATTTGCATCCAATCTGCCACAAAAATGTATTAAAATACATTACAGGTTGTGGTTGAAATATGGCTAAGTTTGTTGCAAGGCACTGGAAGTCCAACCTTCTTCATTCATAGAAGACTTTTTGTTTCCTACTACTTTAAGAAAAAAATGCTATAAAATAAACATTTCCTTTTCACAATGTACAATTCTTCTCTTCTGAATGCTGTGACGTTTTAAAGATCTTTTCATCCCACACACTTCCCATTTCACCCTTGAGTTTTAGTGCAGCTGGCATTCCATGGGAGGCGGTCTGTCCACACAGCATTAAGGAACGCTGTTGTGCCCTAAATAACCTTAAACAAACAAGGCACGCTTGAATTACATGTTTCAAAATTAAACCAGCGGCTTACCACAGGTTGGGCAGTGCACTAGCGGGCATGGGCTGGCACTGGGGTTCGGTTGTATATGTTCTTGTTTTTATGTAGTGTGCCTTTCTCTTACAACAGGTGTCTAATTAGAGAGCACTAGGGTGGAGCACAAGTCAGCTGAGGGCTACTAAATAAAAAAAATTTTTAAATAAACCACTATTCAGTGAACAGGGATTCGGGGCGTCATTGTGGTTCATATAAAAATGTTCCCATCCAACACATTCTTTGTGGACTCCAAACATTCATGTTCACGTCCTTTCAGCTATTTTTTCCTCATTCTGTCTTATTGAAAACCAGAATCCTTTCATCAATCTGACAGGACAGAACAGACGGACTTCTGAAGATAGGACTGGATTTTATTTAGTGGTTCCAGAGCAGAAAGGAGCATGAATATAAACCAAACTTTTCAGATTTATTAATAAATTCCACTACACCTTTTTATACACTACCTTCATGCAAAATACATTAAGTTTGTAAAATGACAAAATGTGGAAAAGTTCAAGGAGGTGAAAACTTTTGTCACGCACTACACTCTATGTTATACAACTTGATTCTCGCTGAGTGATATCACCTCTATCATTACATTCCCACACCGAGATTTAAATGGCTATGCAACAAACAGACCCTGGCACATAAAACACACTTCAAATGCATATAAAGGTAGAAAAAAAAGATAAAAGAAGTACTCTGTGGTATTGAGCCAAACAAGACTCTTTGGGACAACATCTAATGACCTAACATAAAGTAAAGTGAGCATGCGAAACCACTTGATGTCCTGATAATTACAGATTGTGAGCCGGACATGTACACAAGAAAACATTTTCCTCCAGGGGAAACATTTCACTGTTCGTTAGAGATTCAAAAGCATGTCTAGCCATTGTTGATTGAGAGGAGTGGAATTCTCAGCTTAATAATGTCGCGTAAATTACAGCAGCAGACTGTGTTAATGAGCGGCTTTAACAGCCGGTTTCAGAGGTAAATACATCAGACACCAAGCCGAGGTCTGGTCAACTTCAGTTCTAAGTAATCCAACGCATTAGCACAACAAAAACAGTAAAAGCTCATAAAAGTCATGACGAGTCTGAAATTGACTGGATGGAAAAATTTAGATATTTATTTGCCCAAATATAAAAATGTATGAAGGTACTAACAGGGACTGCAAAAGTTAACAACTAGAAAGTGGTTGTGATTTTTATTATCCTGAAACATATTAGTCATTTTCCAGCACAGGAAGCATTAATCACAGTTTAGAGGATTATCAAGACTCTCACAAAGCCGACACGTTGCCAAGGGAAATGGTCCCAACCATGCTTGTAGGCTGGTTTTAGAATGAACAAAGCTGTCTAGCCTAAAATTTTAGAATGGTCCCTCAATCAGACCTATTGCAAATTTATCGAAAATGTGTTAGGATACCAACAGATTTAAATAACTCCACCAATTTTGATAAGACCCTGAAGCCTGAAGTCTGTTATTGGCTACAAAGCAGTTTGGCATTTCTGTGACTTGCTCAGGAACATTTATCCAAGTGTTAGTGAGGGCGTAAGTGTCCATTTAAAACTCTAGGTGTAACATTTTGATCTTCTCTAGAGTAGAGAAAATCCACAATAAGACAAGACTTGTGCACCCAAATCTTGGTTTAAAAAAAAAAAAAAAAAATTTTGTTTGTTCTATGATCCTTTTCAAAAAAAAAAACAAACAAACAAAAAATAAACACTTCAAATGCATTAATAAAAGCCAATAAGATCTTACTACTGACAAGTTTATGTAAACCTCTGACCGGACTGGTCAGATCTGACGTTTTTCTCATTTCTTTGTGTTCAAATGGGTGGATGAAGGTTTCAAGGATTTATTTAAGGACAGAGGAGCGCTGTGCAGGAGGAAGCATGGGGAAAGATGGGTGACAGAGATTTTCTTCCTCTGAGACAAAGACCCCTTTGACCCATGAGGCTCCAGACAACTCTGTGCAGGCAGTGCCCGAGACAGACACCGGCCTGTACGCCCATGAAGCATCCACTTTTCCTCTCACACCCTCCTACCATCCTCATCATCGCACACCCACAAACACGCCTGGAGGAAAAGGTCGGATTGGTCATTCATGGACACCTTGCAAAGCGTCTAAGCAGATATTTGTTACTATGACAACGGCATCTCACACTCACATGTGCCAGACCAGAGGTCAAGGTTCACGGGTGACGGTTCTGGGGCTCAATGGGCCTCTGTGTATTACCATACAGAACTCCAGTAATCCAGGGCTAAAGAAGGTCGGGCGGAAAAATGATGGAGGAGTTCACTCTCCGGCTGACTCCCAAGAGTAGAAGCTTGGGGGTTCACTCAAAAAGCTTTGAGTGGAAGCTTTTCCAAAACTTCCACTCAAAGCTACGAGTGGTGAAATATAAATAAGTCAATTTATATTTCACCACCTGTAAGCTTGAAGCCTAGAGCTGCTATTTGGAGTTGATTATGTCCCTGATGTGGTGAATCTCTTTCTCTAAATGGAAACCACACGTCCATCTGGTTAAGAGGCGTGGCTTTTGGAGAGCATTTGTTTGCACAAAGTATGTGTTTCCATCTGTGTAAATATGTGTACATGCATCCATGTGTTAGCACACACACTTGGCAGCTGCAGTTGAACTTGATAAATGATTTTGTTTACAGGAAAAGCTCCATAATTGGCCTTACTCTTAATATAGGAAGCCCATAAACACATATGCATACATCCTTGCTTCACAGCGTGGGATTAGTGCAAAGGCATGTACACAATCCCATGTTGTAACGTCATAAATAAAATGGCTGTGTGGTCAGACATTGTGAACTTTGCAAGAGATCCTTGTATTTGCAAGAATCCCTTGTTAAATTTGCACCAAAATCATTGATACTTAGTAAAACTTGACTTTCATCTTATGCACTTTGCGAACTCTGCATCAACATTTAAGGATGAAGGGTGGAAGCCAGGGCAGGGGAAAACAACTATAAGAATAAGCCAGGTACATATGGGCCATTAAGCTGTACTCGTATCTGCGGTGGAGAAATGGAGATTCACATCTCAGGTTGGAGAATATGTTTAAGGGACAATGGCAAGCTGCTTTGTGGAGGTGTACGGAACGCAGTGCCATCTGACTTTTTGTTGTTTGCAATGGAACTTGAGAGGTTGATCTGTGCTGCATGAAAGTAAATGCAGAGACATTCTCAAAGAAAAACTCTCTTAGGCTACAAAAGACTTGAGAGTGGAACAGAGGCTCCAATGAAACGGTGTAGCTGAAAGTCTTTTCATGTGTTAAAATGGATCAAAGACCAGTTTTAAATCCATTTAGAAATCTCTGGCAAAGATTGCATAGGTTTTGCGTGCGAAACTGTGAAATTTACACACATTTTCTCTCCACTTTGACTGAAATGGAATTATCTTACAAATAAGAATCGGCTGAGGGTTCAGCCTTAATGTGCAAAGTTTGTAGAGACACTGAATAAGAGTTTTAACTCAGGGGGACAGAGCAGAAATATACAATTTTTCCAGATTTTTTTTAAATCTAGAAAATCATGCATCCTTTTTGTTTGACTTGAACAAAAAGTTGTGTTCCGTATTGTGTTATTTGGATAAATAAAAATTCTTATCAAAGTCTGTGCAAAATTTTAACAGTAGATAAATATGTTATATTTACATTTTTTGAAAACACTGCTGTATTTCAGAAAGCACAGAATATTGGACTCTGAATTACACTTAGTCTGACTAGGTTTCACTGCACTGAGGAGGCCTTTCTAGCTAAATTGAAGTTTAATTTACCTAAATGTGATTTGGATCATAAGCATTGCTTATCTGAGATGAAATTGTGGAACTTTAGGTTTAATTATCTCCAATGAACCCAGAAAAAAGACCTTCTTATCCTCCTATACTTTTATTCATAATAAGGTATACTCCAGAGTAAATTGCAGAACTTTAATGTTGAAATGATCTGAGCTTTCTTCAAAAACCACAAAGTCAGTAATCTAGAGAAGAAAGAGCTGAGCCGCAAAACAAAGCTTTACCCAAATCTATGTCTTAACCCTCATGTATGGTCATAAAATATGAATAACTGAATATAGTAACTGAAATGATGTTCCTCTGTAGGGCGGCTAAGCTCAGTCTGGCTCAATCCTACGTTAAGGGAACTTGGAATAGAGCTGCTGCTCCTCCACAATGCACTGAGGTGGTTCATCTGGCCAGGCTGGATCCACCGAAGAGTTTCTGAGCAGGTCCAACTGGGCAGAGATGCCACCACAGATCCATTTATAGGTGACAGACTATAAATGGAGGGCTGCATTTTAGTTTCATGTGTTTTTTGGGATTTTAAACTAAACACCACGGGACAATTTCGAGATGCTGATTGCACCGGCAGGAAAGTTAAAGAGTTCACCAGGTTCAAAGAAGCTCTTTGTGACAGGGGAGAACATTTTATGGCAAACACTCTCACAGCTGTTGAGGAAATTTTCTAAAAGCTACAATTCTTAACTCTAATTGTGCCACTAGTGGATAAAGTGAGTTGTATAAATATTGACACAATACCTCATTAAAATGGATTCAGATGTAGTAAGAATATTTCTGTTTTTGACAAAGGCAGTAGAATATGGTTGTCCAAATTCTCCACCAACTTTTAGAAACATTTTCAAAACCATGAATTTCAAGGAGAAGCAATTTAGCGAAGGACATTTGCTAAATGAAGACTCTTGAATGAGACTACGTCTGACTAACTGGTTTGGAAAAATAGAATCCTTCATTAGTCTAGAGCAGGATTCTTACGAAGCGTCCGTGAGGCTTGCTACAACAGCTCAGTTAGGAGGAGAAAGTCCAGTGAAGCCGTGTGTTTTCAGTCTGTTTACTGTGCTTTTATTAGGCATCCTGTGGCACAGACATGCTTTTGAAAGGCCGTCTTTATAGCAGTTTTCCTGTTTATGCTCAGGGGTGGGAGGTCAGCACTCGCAGCCTAGTGCTGAACATGGTCAATCCGCCTGCATAGGAGAACTTTGTCTGCAAGCATGCAAAAGAGCTTGCGTGCATCAGCTGCTCAATGAGAGGGATTTAAAATGATGTGGGATCTAGCTGCTTCAGCACAGAGATGCAGCCTTTGCTATTGTAATAAGCTATGCAAGAATGTGTCAAGAAACGATACATAGGATATGTCTAGATGTGTTTGGTCAGCCAGACTTACCTGCGGACCCCTCTTGCCTGGCAGGCCTGGTTTCCCTGAAGGTCCTGGCAGTCCCTGGAGAGAAAATTTTCAATCAGTGCTCCATGCTGACAAACCAAACAAACAGTCTCTTCAGTACCCCAGTAGTCTTCTACAGTCATATTTGTCAAATCCATCAGCTCAGGTTTTTTGATGAATGCTTAAATGCTTCTGCTCTGTGTCAAAGAAAAGTGGTCCTCTTTCCCTCTGAAGTAATTCAATCTCCAGGTGATAAGAGTTAAAATGTATTTATCAAAACTGTCAGAGCTCATGCGGCAGGAAACTGCAGAAAGACTAGAAATAACAGGTCATTTCCTGCGCCACTCAATGCCTCTGTGTGTCTCTTTCAGGCTTCTGCTCATTCGTTTTCTTTTAATTAGAAAAGAAGGACAGGAGGAAGGAAAACAGAGCTGCTGTAGCTGCTTTGGCCGACATAAGGCCTGTGGATCCCATGATTAATATTTCATATAGATGCTCTGCATTTAAAAGATATCCTCAATTTATCTTTGTCACATAAATTTAAATTACAAGTTTCCTCATCTTAGTGTCAGACATTCAACATTTAAATAGGAAAAAGGAAAAACATTTTGTGATCGTCTGAAATACTTTACATTCAGAATTGTATGCTCTGAAGTGTAAATTCATGTTCACATCAATTTCATCTTCAACCGATTTTATACCTCTTAAAAATATAACCAGGGTTGCACCGAATTCAATTGTCAAGCTAATCACTGGTATAAGAAGATTGGTGATCTGCTGATTCCTATTTTATCCAATTTTTAAAAAAATTGACACTGTATTGTACGGTCACAACACATAATCAGTGCAACTGCTCCAATACAAATATAGCGACAAACTTGCTAAGCTGATGACGGTGGGGTGACTTTTGTTTAATTGCACACATGCAGATGTGCCCTGGTGGGCAGATTAGTCAATAAGCAATCAATCAGTGAAAGGAGACAGTGCCTAGTTTTCAGTCCTCTGTGGGGGTAGATAAAATTGCTGGATAAGATCTGCTTCAAATTAATTCATTAATAGCACTTGTGGTATGTGCATAAAATAGACCTTTCCACAGAATTTGTCTCTTTCAGTCCTTCATCTCCATCACCAGGGACAGCACTAAAGAACTGGCAGAGAATACTGAAGATGAGGTAGTAAAGCTAAAGCAAAGAAGTGAAAAAATAGGAAAAGACCATCAATTAGTCTGGAACATTTGGAAAGATCTTACATTATGGGGTGCAGATAATCAAGAAAAAAGTGAGGGATCAGCCCACAACCATTTACCTTGGAGAAACTTATCCAAGATCTGAAGAGATCCACAAATGGATTGTGATCTTGCAAACCTCATATGTAAGTCAGTTTCACATTTGCCAGAAAACATTCAAAGTACTGGTTTTAAATCCTGACTGTCCTTCATGTTTCCCTGCCAGAGAAGGCTTGGAAATAAGAAATGTGCAATCAAAATCAAGCTTTTTGGCATCAACACAACTCACTCTGTTGGGAGGAACAGAAATGCTGAGCATGAAGAACATAATTTTAACCGTTAAGTATGGAAATGGAAATATTATGCTCTGGTTTTCTTTTTTTTTCTCAATAAGGGTGACTTTAATGCATCCTGTAGTCGAAGGAGCCATGTAACATAAAATCCTGGAGGATACGTTTCTATCCTCAGCCAGAACACAGAAAGTGGGTTGTGGAAGGGTATTCCAGAAAGAAAACGAATCAAAACACCCTGCCAAAGAGACACCACATTAAGTACTAGGAGGGGCCTAGCCAATCTCATGACCTCAATGTAATAGAAAATTTGAGGAGAGACCTGAAATTTCGAGTTGCCAAGTGGCAGCCAAGAAACCTAAAAGATTTAAAGAGTTTCTTTACAAATGAGTGGGCCAAAATCCTTTTTGAGATTTTGAGCAAACCTGGAGACCACAAGAAATGTGTAACTGCTGTTGACTGCCAACAAAGGTTTTATGAAGTCCTAGGACATGTTTTGTTGGAAATCAAATACTAACAAAGGTAAATTCAGATCAGCTTCAATATAATTCATATTATCTGGATTTTTGGTTGATATTCTCCTTCTCCACAATAAAATGAAACAGCCATAAAATCAAAAATTGTACAAAAGCAAAATGGGCTTAAATGTTTATTTAAAGCACTTTATGCTGTGAGATTTAGTCAAATTAAGTTCTGTTGGTTGCAAGAGTATTTAAGCTCTAACTGTTTAAATGTCCCTAAAAGCTGGCAGACAACTGAAAAATTAAATCTAATTGCCACATAACCACATTAAATTTAAACATATGGCCACTACATTAGCTTAACAATTTCACTTGCAGCATTTATCAATTTAGGTACTATATGAAATAGATTCAGCTGCACAACTCAGGTTACGAGAAGACTTTTCAAAGCGGTAGGAAAGCCTGTCACATTAGTCAGAAGAAATTACCTTTGCTTTGCTAAATTAAGCAAACAATAGTAACTTGTTGTAGCAAACAGTGTAAATTTTCTTTTTTAATATTTACTTAGCATAAGATACTCTGGTAATTCCCTCTAATCTGTCTATCCCACAACTTATGCCCAGTTTGGAGTACATTGCATCAACAATACAAAAACCACAGATTACTTATAAAACCTAAAAAAAATACAGAAAAATAAATAGTAGTATGCACACATTAATGGTGATGAAGTAGTCTTAGTGCATCTGCAAAAAGCAGAGACCTGGAAGTAAGAAATTACTTAAGCTGAGTGGTCACCTGTAATGCAGACAGATTCTGAGGCTGAGTGTGAACTGACCTCTTGAAAGGGTTAAGCTGGGTTTCAGCTTCAGGCGACACACTGAAGACCTGACCTAACCTTGTGCGTGTATTGAGAAACTCAGTGTTTGCCGACTGCTTTGACCTTCAACCCCGAGCTGAAAGGGGCTCAGTGTGACCTTGACTAGTCTCTAACAGAGGAATCTGGTCAAGAGATGGCAAAGCGTGAAACGCGGCACGTCACAACCATCCTGGATGGTTCAATGAACAAATGGAGAATGTAAGGAAGTAAATTAGGAAATCCTAAACTGTTCAAGACAACGGAAAATGTATTTAGAAGGCTTTTTATTTAAAGTGTTTGTGTTTGACTTAACTGGCATCTGTAAAAAGTTTTGACATAAGTTTTGACAAAATTCAGAACCGACTGGCTTGACTCTAGTGCGACATTAATTTTCTTTTCTTTTTCTAGAAAAGGCCACCCAGAACCAGCAACAGAGAACATAATTCAAATTTCAATTCTCAGTTTAATTAACCTTTTTGTGGTACTACTTCAAATTACTTACCGGTGGGCCAGGGTCTCCTTTCTCTCCCTTTGGTCCTGTCAGCATTGAGAACTGTGTTGGTGGCACCTCCCAGCTCTGGAAATCATCAGTAGCAGGTGGTGTTACTATGTCTGTAGGCTTGGTAGGTCGAGGAGTGACTGAAGCCTTGGTAGTTTTGGGTTTCTTTGTTGGCTTGGTAGTTTGTTTAGAAATTGGCTTTGGGGGCTTAGCAGTTATAGTTTTCGGGACTGATGATTTTTCTTTGGATAGTGTTGGTTTAGAGGGGGTAATTTTGACATAATCTGGTTGGGAATTGGGCAAAGAAACTTTGGATGGAGAAACCTTAGACTTGGGGAGTATTTTCTTGGGTGTTGTGGGCTGAGGTTGGTTTAGGACTCTAGCTTGGTCTTGTAAAACAGTGTCAATTTTGATTTTGGGGGATTTGGTGGTTGGAGTGGTACATTTCTTCTTGTCTGTTGTTATAGTCTCTTTTGAGTTGCTTTGATGAGTAGGCTTTGGTGGTGGTGTGGGCTTAGCAGTTTTGTGATCTGACGCTTTCAAGTTTGGGGTTGGAGATTTTGCATGCGGCGCTGGTGTCCTGAGTGGTGCTGTTACAGTTTCAGTCTTGGTTAGGGAAGAAGGGACGACGAAACCCAATTGGGATGTGGTTGGCATCACAGTTACTAGCAGGGGAGTGGGTATGGTTGTCTGATTTAGCTTTTTTTTATGGGTGGAGGTCACATACCTAACAGCTGAGGCAGCAGCGGCGACATTCCTGGCAAGGCTCAACTTTGTGGTCTTCCTTGCGGTGTCTGAATCACCACGCTTAGGGGTAGTAAGAGTAGCTGAAATGTTTGTTACTCTTGGTAGAATAGGTAGTAAAGGAGAAAGGTTAGGCCTGTAAGTGTCAGCTTCCCTGCATTGTTTCTTAATGTATTTGCAGTAGTTGTGAGCTGCCTGTGCAGAAGGGACCAGATCAAACTGGCAAATTGCTCCTTCAAAGTATCCTGATGCTTGGTGCTGGCTTGACTTCCCCAGCAAGAAGGAGCCTTGGAGTTCTGGAGCCAGTCCCTCCTCACTGTCCCACCCAAAGTCTGCCTGGACACTCTGCTCTCCGCAGGAGGCATATAGAGTCACTGTCTTTCCATTAATTTCCAGTGCCAGCTGGTGCCACTGGCCATCATGGGGCTCATAGGGCAGTGTCACTGAGGTGTTCAGTCCTGTGTGTAGGACTAGACTACCTGGTACAAGCTGCAAACCAAGAAGGAGCTTCTTTTTGCTTGAAAGCAGAGTGAAGAGGAAAGCACTGTTTACACGATGTGAGCGAACACTCAGGACCAGTGCCAACTTGGGCCAGATGGCCGCTGGAAGGACTGAGTGCAATGGAGCCTCAATATGCGCCCTCTGGTTGAGGATGATCCCTGCTCTGAATGGAATGACCCCTTCTGGCACAGAACGTGACGGCTTCTGTCCCTTAAGCCCCAACTTTTGGAGGATATCAACATCTGGGAAAAAAAGAGAATGCAGTGTTAGTCATGCATGCCTGTTGCTATATGCTCCATTTCTTATCTGAACAGCATGCTGAGTTTTAATGTTTAGAACGAAGACTACATTAGCGTTCTGTGTAAACATTTTTAGATCATTTAAATAGGTTGTATTACATTGCAATTTTATTAGGATACAATGGACACTGTGGTATGGAATAGCACCATAACATGAAGACTGCAGAAGAGCAATCAGGTTTACAACAATTTTATAGCCTAATAAAAGACTTCTCCTACCCTGTATCTTGCTATTAACTTTGCAAGGATATTTACATTATTTACATTTCTACATCTGCAGAAAGAACTCCTATTCACTTCAAAGAGTATTAAAAACACCTAAAACTTGAACAAAAGCTTTTCCTTCCACATCTTCTATTTTATTCGATGTCAATACTTGCAGAGTGTGCTATATATAATCAACCTAATAGAATATGAAAAAACTTTACTGATGCATCTTATTACCAAAACAAAGCATAAGAATGTAAACCATATAAAGCATTGAGCTACTTTGTAAGACACTTTCAGCTTAACACTGCAGGGAAGTAAGACTATTTTGATTATTTTACCTATTGTCTTGGTCACTGAATGAGCAGTTTCAGAAATGTTCCTCAAAACAAAGTTGTTTTTTTCTCAGTCTTAGCCCATAAGCCACTTGTGATGTCTTAAACAGCATTAAACTGGCCACAACAGTAACATGTTTTCTGTTTTAATGGTCTGCAAATTGTCAAAAGAGCAGCCTGAAATAAAATGTGATGCAACGTCTGTAAGTGTTGGTTCTAATTTCAAACTACGTTGCCCACAGCTTACACGTCTTGAATTACGCCTTATGTGATTGAAATCAGGTTATTTGAAATTCAGCTGCTTTGAAGCTAAAAATAAATAAATAAAAAATTCTGTAAATGTAGATGTTGAGACTAAAGCAACATCTTTCTGAACTTTGTATGCATGTCTTGGAACCCAACTGCATCCTAAAGGGGCTTAAATCTTTCTTTTATAGTTTTAATAGTCAGCACATTTTGTCACAAGTCAAAGAGAACTACTAAATATTAAGGTGCACCGTGAAATTGGCAGCAGATTGAAACAAACAAGTGTATAAAATTAATTTCCAATAAGCGAGCTTTAACATGTCTTGCAAAAAAGTACAAAAAAAAACATTTATCTTGGTTTTATTTCAACATATACATCTATTCCATAACCTGGAGAATTACACAATAATTTCCCAAATTTGTAGTTTTTCAGTGAAGCAAAGAGACAGCTCTGTAACTCAGAGGTGTTCTAGGAAATTTGTTATAAATGTGCCGGTGTTATTTACAGTTTTGTAAGAGAAATAAGAATAGATTGGAGTCAATACTATCAGTTCAAAGCTTTAAAAAAATAGACCTTTTGCCACAAAACCTCTGAATGATCAATCTTTATTAATTAAAGTATAATATCTATAAATACTCTGTGTATTTTGCACACAGTAGCTTACTTGCATAATCAAATATGTTACATTTAAAGTTCAATATCAATATGATTAGCTTTGGAAAGCCTGATATATTCTTTTCACACATTAAATTATCCCAGTTAGATTTTTGGATTATTTGACTTGCTTTCACCAAAATAACTCAAGGTTATTGATTGACACTGTGTTTTCTTCAGATATTTAGAAATGAGCATACAATCTCCCTCCCTGGAGCCAGAATACAGTATGCAGCTTTTTATACAGCTTTAACTCTGTCAGCATTCAGTCTCAAAGTAGTCCCAGCTTTCATCTTCCCAATGACCTGTGACCCACAGGCTCCGCACTATCTCTATTGTCCTCAGGGTAACTCGCTCTTGTGGTTGCCTGTTTAGCATACTTCTTTAGAACAAATCTACAAAATATAAAATTGCATCTTCCTGTGTCTTTCTGGGAGCAGCCAGTCACTGCATGTTGGCATTTTGGATCATTTCGGTCGGCTTCTTTCGCTACATTTAGTGCAAGACCTTCGACCATGCACTGAGAAGAGGGATGAGTTGCCTTAATGCGCAATGTTCCGGAAAAGCATTGGTCATAAAATCTTTGTCTGGAATAAAAACATTTGGAAAAAATTATTACGGTCAGACTTTTGAGTTGTACAGTAGACGACAACTGCTGAAAGTTATAATGCAGTGTGCATTTATTTTGTGGAGAGAATATACCTAAGATAGGGAACAGCTGCTTCGGTGCAAAAAGAGTTTTTGAATTTATGAGTCAAAGAAAATCTTTCCAAATAAAGGTTTAAGATGTCTTCACAGTCTGGTTTTCTAAAGCTTTTCTTGCCTCAAAACATAAGGTCTTCGTAAAATAGAACTACGGAATACACTGAGTGTATTGTGTAGTCATCCTCAGTAAATTTTCCTCTTTGTGTGGTCTCTGGCAGCAAGGAACAGCAGGACGAGGCAGTGAAGCAGGACATGCATTACATGTAATGTACATACTGACGTTTCCAAAGTCCTTATTTAACAAATTATACTATTATAGGGGCATAGTGTACATTAACCCAGTGGTTTCATAGCGTAACATACATGTTTGAACATCAGTGTGTCAAGCACATGGCAAGAGCTCATAGCATTGCTCTGTGCCAACTCACTAATGTAGCACAAATACAAAAACCAAGGGTCTTTGTAATTTTATCCGCTGTAGAGGATGAAGTCATCTATTCTCACTCAAGAGATCTCCCCTCAGCTGCCCCTGAGCACTGCAGTGTGAGGAGTTATGATTATTCTCATTCTTCATATTCTCATATTTTTCTTTCAGCTACTAAAGCTGAAAAGTTAAGAAAAGAGGCTTTTCCTAAAGGTTGTAACCTTTCGCAGTCAGAATATATCTGTAGAAACAACAATCTGGTTGCACAGTGTGAATTAAAAACATCTTGGGAATAACATATAAAGCAAAAGGCATAATTTTTCCTCAATTGAAAAAAAAAAGTTTACTAAAATCATTTGAAAAACCTTTTAAAGACATGTTTTACTTCAAAACCTATGAATTAAGAATTAACAAAGAGGCTAAGTCTTACGTAATATTGTTTTTCTATATGGTGATGACTTACTGGAGTAAATCTGGAACTTCTTCAGCAAGAAAAACCACCAAAATGGTGAAAACGTAACTGGACCTGTTATTAACAGTATTGGTTCCTGGCAAGAAAATCATAAGTTCAATTCTCAAAAAACTTTGCATGTTCTCACAGTGCCTGTATGGGTTCTTTACAGGTACTCTGGCTTCCCCCAAATGTCTTAAATGATGCATGTTTGGTCAATGAACCACTTTAAATTTCCCTTAGGTGTAGGTGTGAGTGTGAATGGTTGTTTTAAAACAATGGAGTAGTGACCTGTCCAGGGCGTCGTTACCTCACCTCTTGCCCTCTTGCCCTCTTGACTGCTGGAGTTATGTAGCTCATAAATGTGAAGTGAACCACAAGGTCTTTTTGTGGTTAAAATGTCCTAATACCATTTCTTCTTTAAATTTGCTTCCTTTATTGATTTTGAACTACAGGTATCATCGCAACAGCTGCCTCAAATTCACAAAGAAATCTTGCTACGGCTTTGAACTCTCCACAGCTTTACTGAACAGGCAAAGGACAACTGCAAAGTCACCTCAACCTTACATATATTTTCTTTTGCCTTAACTGTTTTGAATATACAAAGAACAGGAATGAATGGAGATGAATAATAGTCTTACCTTCAGAGTGTACTTGTGTAAGTCCCAGGTAACAAGTACAATATAAAACTGTACAGAGCAATAGGGCTCTCCTGGTAAAAAAAAAGGAAGAATAGTGTTAGAAGAAGGAAACAGTTACAGTATATGCAGTCAGAGACTTTCTTTCATTTTCATTTGATTAAAAACATGTAGTTTTAAAATCCTTCCTTAAAGGTTGTCTTAGGTTTGATAATGCGGAGACATGCAATTCCAATCCAGTTAAAATATTGTGAATTTCTTAATAATCTTGCATATTCCTTTTCATCACAATGTTTCAACAACTTTCTCTGAGCTGTAGCATCTTTGTCACTGATATTTATATGAGGCGTGGGCACCAAGGAAAGGTTTGGTACATGCAACCTGTTAAGCATATTATTGACATTATCACTTTTTGATATTAAGAAAACATCTAATTGTAATATTCACAAAAATTATCAATCAGTTTCCCTCACATTGCAATGTTGATTGTCATTTGATTTAATTGTGCAGCTTTAGTTGGCATTCAAATTGTGAATTCATAATAAAACTAATAGGATTATTGAAGTTCCCAGTTGGAAATGCAACCAGAATGTTTCCAGAATTGAAATTTTGACCAGGGGAGTCCCAAACGGCCCACAAGTCCACATTATTAAATACATCAAGCAGAGTAAAAGCTGCAGGTATAAACTGTCTATCAGCATCTCTGACAGCTTATCTATTCAAAAGACTGACATGAAGTCTCTGTGAACATATTCCTTCCTAGCATATTATATGCATTCAACCCAGTGGTTGAATGCATATAATTGAGAATACTAAACTTTATTTACAATGCTATTAGAAACAAAACTGGCTTGTATTGTTATTGCTATCAACCACAACAGAGAACAATTCCCACAATTAGAACACATCAATGGAATTAAAAATGACATCAATCCGATCTTAAATGTGTTCCAGTCCTAGGCTCATAAACCAGTGGAGTTTCCTAAGTGATATACTTAGAGCACAGCCTAACTATAATTAGAATTACATCATCAAGCACTGAGTCAGCAATGGTCATTTAGACTTATTGTTGGAAGTGCAAATAAACTTCTTAATTCAGCTTTCAGTAAGTTTTGGATGCAAGGGAGCCCTGCTATATTTTAATCGTTCTCAGACTTGTTATCTTTAAGAGTCACTTGAAGACTTCAGTCAACATCTTCCACACACACATATCTGAAAGCCTCTGAAATGACTAACCTTGCTTTGCACTTCTGTACTTATTCAATTTCATTCAAAGTTAGTAGCTAATATTTAGACCAGGATCTTCAAAGCGGCCGTCACACAAAAATGTGGTGCATTAAAAAAAAGCTTTTGAGGGAATGAAGGCCATTTTGTGGACCGTGAAATTGTGTCATATCTTTTAGGTGTGTGTGTCACTTTTCATGTTCCCTTTATCAGAATTTTACATATACATGTTGGGATTATCGACTTCTGCTAAATCAGGTGAGATTAAGTAAGATTATCATTGGTTCATTCCTGTGTTATTTGAACAATAGTTGTATAAAGGCGTATTCTGTAGCAGTGTGAAAGTCTCTATTTTTCAGTTTATAGGAATAGTGGATTTGACAATCAATAGAATATTTACAAAGAACACATCTCTGTATAATTACTTTCAGTTCAAGGAACTGTGTTATTCGGAAACCCGCTTTACAGCACAAATTCATAAATTATCCTGAGATTAACGTTAACATCAAACCAAAACACAATCTTTAAGAAAAACAACTGTAAGCAACTGAGTTTCCATGGGAGTAACAACAGGAAGCAGGATTCTGCAAAAGCACTTAGAGCACCTCTTTGAACCCTCCCCCCCCAAACACAAACACACACAGGGCTGCAGGTTGTGGATTTTGGAGGCCAAAATACAACCATACACTTATCCAATAACTCTTATTTTCTCAAACCAATATGCATTCACACATGGCGCTAAACAAAAATATCTCTCTCAGCAGTCTCTACAGCGCCAGGTGTGCAGCAGAACCTAAAGACTGGCCCATGTTAGTATTGAGAGCTCAACAAGGGGACCAGGCTCTAGTGACAGTCAGGGGAGCCACTGTTTACTGCTGGAGGTCATCCAGACACACATGGTCACACACACATTAGAGGAGGAAATGTGTATAGCAGCTGTGCCTAGAGGGCCACAGAGAAGCAGACAAACAGGGTTCCAAATACAGCAATGTGGGAAAGAAATTAATGAAAGCAGCTGTCTTAAAACGTATCTACCTGCACCACCTCTGACAAAGAGTTGTCTCCGTGTTTAAAGGAGTCAACAATTAGTCTAAACACAGACGAGCATCAGAATCCCGTTCAGACCTGGATAATTATAATCAGAGTATGTGTGCAACATGTACATTTGTGGTGTCTGCGTCGTCTGCTCTTTCAGCCCCTAGATGCTAATAAAGCTTCATCACAGCCATCCCCACACACAGCTGGCTGTGGTTTTCACAGGATGTGTGTGTGTGCGCGTGCTTGCGCGCGTGTTTAGGTGTGTGTGTTATCTCCATGCCTCCAAGATAATTACAGTCTGATTTTGTCTTGTCAACTGAGAGACCCATCCTCTGAAATCGAGTCATGAATGCACTGGTTGTTGTTGCAGTAAAAACAACTTTTGCTTTATTCCTCGGGCCGTTTGCATCTGTGGAAACTAGAACAAGTTTACCCAGGAAGCAGCGTTGTTTTCCTTGGCTTCTGCTTATTCAAAATTCTTAGTTTCTTGTTTAGGTTTCTATTAGAGTGCTTTAGAAGTGCCCATGACAGGTAGGCTTTTGCACAGCAATTGAAGTTTTTTTGTTTGAAATGAGTCATAAATCAGAAAGGCTAACATCAGTACATTCAGACTAGTGTGGTTTTATTGCTGCAACCATGAGCAATGACATGACTCGCATTGGAAATTCTACCATAAGCTGAGTAGACAAAATGCAAGACGGATGAGCAATGGCTCCTATGATGTTATCCAATGAAACAGACAATGATTTTTATGTTATTCTAAACCTCTCTTTTGAAAGCAGACCTATTTGATGAAAGTGGATTATTACACACATATTCCTTTAGTGTTTTTTATAGTATCCAAGTAGTATATGGAATTTTAACAGTGATTAACAAAGCTTGCATTCCTTGTAGGCACTAAGTCTGCAATGGTTTTACTGTAACTGTCTTGAAACCTGCACTGTTTTTCTGCAGACATCAGTTGAGGTTGGTTTGTTGCAGAAGGGAGGTGCAGTCGGATGGAGTGGGAGGAGAGGGGAGTGTACAGGTTAGACACAGAAAGCCCAGTGTATAGTTTCCATTTCTGTTCATGTGTTTAGACTACTGACTGATTCCATGCAAAGGTTTCCCAAAGGAGATCCTTCCGCACCCCCCCCACACACACAAGTACTTGCACACAGTGGAAAATTCCTATAGATGAGAAGACCCTAATGACACTAATGTGGAGGCCACTCACACCTCCATCACCAGGTCTCTTTGTGTTCACTTGGTGACTAATTTCAGTAATGACCTAATTCAGTCCTGCAAATGATAAATACCTAAAGGCTAGCAAATTCATTGGAAATTAGATCTGAATTTGATTTTGCAGCTAATCCTAAGGGTTAAAACTGAGTTACCCCCCAACCCCCAAGAAAAAAACAATTACCTGTCCAAAAGCTATTAGATATAAAGGGCGACACCATGTGGACGCCTACTGAAAAACAACTCAGGTAGGTTGCTTTTATTGCGCAATTACATCAGCAGTAAGGAAGGGCAAAGCGTTTATGGATGAAGCTCAACAACTTGTTCTGATGATTCAGCTGTGATAATCTCTTTGTTTAATTAAAGAACATAAAAGTGGTTACATCCCTGGAGATAATAAAAAGATAATAATAACTTCGAGCAAATAGCGTGAGGAGAGAACCATGCATGTCCTAAACATTGAATGAATGAATGAATGAATGAATGAATGAATGAATGAAACTTTCATTCATCTGTGGACATCTGCAGCCTATTCCCCACCACAATTTCAACACTAATTTCAGATTAAACGAGCAATAAGGTTAGTTTTAATGGCATTTTCTTTAAAGCACTAATGCGTTGTTGGCAATGCGTAAAAGTGGCCGCTTGGAACACCGGGACAGTGGAAAATATCCGACGGCGCAGAGGATGCTGATGAGCCTCTCATTGCATTTTATAGGTCCTAATAATTGCCCCTTATTTTCCCTTGTGTTGTCAGATGAGTCAGGTTAGATAATCTCGCATAGAAGATTGAACCGTTTAGGTTTTCCAACATTCAAAAAAATAAAAAAAAAATACAAATAAAATAAACATAAACGTGAATTGCAAGGATTATAGCCTACATGTATTGCGTAGCTTCCATGTTTTATTTTAATAATGACGTAGGTTAACTGATTCCTGCTGCAACACTAAATGCTTCACATCGATATGTGCCATGATCAATATTCAGAACCTCCTTTGACCCCATGCGGACATCAGTCCTGGACCAAGGAAGCCGGTATCACAGGTAAGAGTGTCTGAACGGATCCCACAAAAAAAACATCAAACATAAAACAAACAAACAAACAAACAAAAAATCTTACTTACTTTGTATCTAGATGAGAGGTTCTGCAATCTCTCCTTCGGGTGCCTAAATTCATTTGTATTCATTTGTCCTGCCAGTCAAAAACCTGATCCGTTAATCACAGCGTGACTCCTTTGCGAGGGGGGCAGAAAACACCGGCCGCCGTTTCACGCATTTGACAATCTTGAGATGAAGTTCCAGACATAAAACGTCACGCTGAGCTGCCTGTCAAGCTCGACATAGAATCCTCCTGGTTGTCTTGTTTGACAAGAGAGAGTTTCCAGGTTGCGATCGTCTGGCGATATTCCTTTGTGGCTCATTCATTTATGCCGATCCAGATTGAGGGACGCTGCTGCGGCCGGTGAGGGAAGCTGCGTGGGTTCTTCTCAGCGGGGTTACGGAGTCAGAAGCGCTGGACTCATCGCTTTCCTTTTTAAATAGATTTTTCTGAGGGTACAAACGATGGCAAACGAACCGCGCCGCCAGGTGTCAAGTTACAAGCCCAGCGGTTGGAGAAAGCAACTACACGCCTCTTTCTCCAGGGGGTGGCCACACGGGATTCTGTCCCAGAGACTCTGGTTAACCATATGAATGAACCACGGTGACAAAGTTGGGCTGGATAGGCACCGAGTGAGGATGTGCTTGCAGGGCGCACAAAGAGGGTCTATCCAAAGCTGCACCTGAGGCTGTCAAACTGTGATGCCGCTGGTGGTCAGCTGGTGTTTGAGATATTGAGTTATTTTTTATGAATTTCAGTCTGAAAATAAAACTATTTGCCGATCTGTTCTACTTAGAAGAACACAGGGCTGTGAAGACCTATTTTCTCCCCTTAGAGATGGCTTTATTTATTTATGTTTTTATTGAATGCTAAACATGAATCTCCTGGTACTAATATTAAGTCGTTAACGTTTTTTGTTTAGTTTTTATGGCCACACCTAATTACAGCCAGATTTGGTGAGTCAATAAATCATTCAAAAAAATATATATGTGTATCAACATGCCTCAATCCAAATTAAGAAAAAATTAGACGAGAATCAAACACACTGACATGCATTGCTCTGGAAAGTCCATTTCTAGAGAATTGGGATTCCAGAGAACCACATTGAGAACCATTATCCACAAATGGAGAAAGCAAGAGGTGGTGATGAAGCTCCCTGGAAGTGGCCAGCCAACCAAAAGAGGACGTCAGCCACTCATCTGGGAGGTCACAAAAAAAACAATGAGCATCTAAAGGCCCGAAGCCCTGCTTATGATGAATGTGTGTGACTCAACAATAAGAAAGAGACCAGACAAAAATGGCATTCATTGGAATTACCAAGATTATATTTATTGTTGACTACAAATAAACATAAGCACTTGTCTGTTAGATGTTTGGTTTACACTGTTCTGTATTTGAGCTTCTTGGTTTTAGAGTTGTACTCTTTAGTCTTCTGTTTCTTGGTATCTGTTTTATTTTACCTACGTTCATGATCACCTCTTTTTTTAAAAGTTAATGATCTGGTCCATTAACTTGCTTCTGCTTGACTTTGCTGTCTGTTGGTCTACTTTTTATGCCCATGTTTTCTTATTTTATTTCCCTCCCTGTCGCCTTTTTTTGGTCTTTGGACTCTGGACTTTTAATTGGAAGTTTTGGTTTCACTTCTCAAACATCCTTACTGCATCCACCATCACATCCCGTATCTGCATTTGATCCACCACACTATAGCATGACAATGTGCTTTTAAAACATTGCCTTGATATTTCCCAATATTTGGGGGGGAAATATTTTGCGGACTGATGAGCCAAAGACACACTTTTTGGACCATGTGTGTGTTAATCGCTTAAAAACCACAACTAAAACTCTAAATATATTTTTTAAAATATACTTTTTTGTAAATAGTAAAGGGACAGCAGATGCAAATTAGTTAATGCTATAATCTGGTATAGATCATGACATTTATGTTTGAGTTGTACATTGTCCCTTTTTAGATTAAGTTTATCATTAACATCAAACAAGATTCATGTGAAAGTCAAAGATGGCGGTGGTATTGCCAGTGTCTGGGGCTCGTTTGCTTCCTCAGACTTGCAATAATTGGTGGAGTCCCAAAAAGTGCAGAGAGAATATGTTGAATTATGCTCCAGAACAATGGGTCATTGCATGTGGCTCGTGCCATATGCAATGCTATGTTTAGCATAATGCTATATTTAAGGGGCAGGTTGATGTGGATAGCTTTTTTCCCCTTTAAAATATTAATTTGAATGTGCGCATGCACACCCAGTGGCAAATACTCCTTCAATAAACTATATTTTTCAAGCATATATTTCTGCAAATTTTTGCTGAATATAGAAAAATTGATCTACTGAAAATTTTTCATGTACTCATTTTTCTCTGAACAGTGGACAGTATTAGACTCTCCACAGGAACTGCTTGAACGCTTTAGGTCAGTTTTGCTGGCCACTCAAACACAGAGACACCATCAGTGAATAATGTGGCTTTCCAAATCATCACTGACTGTGGAAGTTTCCCTCTGGACTTCCCAGAAAGTCAGATGCTGTGTCTCTCCACTTTTCCTTTTAAGACTCCAGGATCTTGATTTCCAAATGATAGGCAAAATTTACCTTCATCGTTATCCTTTCCCCAGCTACGAGATTTCTGATGCAGTTTCTGATTCAGGAGGAGATAAACTCAAGGGACTGACACATGATGTGCACTGACTCCCCTCCACATCTTATTAATCTCCCCAAAGTGGAGCTGTATCTTTTTTTCATCAAATCTTCAGGATAGTTTTCATTCAGCATACGGAAAAGTTGAACGACTTTGGGTTAGTTATGCTTAAATGACAGAATAAATGCAAACAATAACTTCTAAAGGAGATATTAAAAATGTCAATTAGGAAATAGATTCACAAAAATATTAAAATAGAGAGAATAACCTATTCACAGCTACTTACATAGGCTATTTTCTAATTGGAGGAAAGATATTATGTAAGTATTGAATATAACTAAATATTTAAAATGATTCAATATATCAATAACACAATGAGTTTACCTTTTTGTGAAACTTCATCAAATGGGAAGCATTTTTAAGAAACACATATTTGATTGGGCTCCACCAAATCACAAATAAGCCCAAGTCAAGATCTACGTAGACGGTAATTTGATCAAAGAGATTAAATTGGAATGACGCCTAGATAGGGAGGAATTAAAGTTTAACTCTGTCTAAATGTTAGCGCTCCGAGTCTGTTATTACAGCAAAGACCCAGATGAAGGGTGTATTCTCCAAAATTAGTGGATAAATAGCAAAAGAGGTGACGCGTACGCACGTCCTGCTTACTATTTGAGCTGACTGGCTGCAGGTATTTTGAACTGAAAGGTTGTCTTCAGTGACACAGTGAAGGTGAGGCTGTCAGGCTGACTCAGTGTTGGTGATCTTCACTCGTTTCGACCTCAGGGCTGCTGGCCAACCAGCCACAAGGGTGGGTGATAATGGACACAAGTCATTAACATTTAGTTTACAGGCCTTCACACCCACGCACACACACACACTGGGCTTTGTGCTTCAGTACTGGGTGCCACCTGACCCTCCCATGCTCTTCCAATGAGCCACTTTGCCTCCATCTTCAAAATTACAAACTCTGTGCTTGCTAGTGCGCTCACTGCCACCCCTTAAAGCAGCTTAATTATGGTCATTGGCACCAAGTATGAAAGCTCCCTTTATCCCCCCCACGCTCCCGAAATAGGTCCTCATCGAAGCTCACAGGCAGCCCAGATCAAACGCTCCCCATAGGGAAGGGGTCATTACTGGTACGCAGGGCGGACACAACCCAATGGGTGCCGGGCCACGCCTTGAGCCCAAATTGCAGCCTGGGCCTGGTGAGGACACAAGCCTCTTCTTTGATGAATGACAAGAGTAACAGCAACACAGCCTGTTTGGATACCACTGTTTACAGTCGACTATGTGCTGTACATACAGATAAACATCCAATAAAGTGTTTTGCGGATTTGAAGCAAAGAAAACTAAACGCTGGGCTTGGTCGGGTGTTCACAAGTTTCTCATGGTTTATATTTATCTAAATGCTGGTGCTGTTTTAAATAAGTACCGTGCCCAGTTCAGATGTTGAGCGGATGTCTCCTCGATGGGAAGTAGTCAGGTCCATCCTGAGGCCTGATCTGAGAGGAAGTATCAGATCTGTCTGTGTATGAGTGATGCCTATTTACAGTTATATGTTGTAGAAAGTGTGCATGGATTTGAGGTGGGCGGATTGATCCAAAATACTGATACCAAATCGGTATCAGTATCGGATTGATACTTTAGTTTAAGTGTTTCCTCTTGAAATTTTGTTTTATTTTTGTATTGTAGTTTCTCAACTATACTGCAAAAATTTAGTTGTGATTTGCTATCAAATTATGAGTTTTTGCATTTGGTTTATTTATTTTAAAAAAAGAAATCACACAATTAAAATATTCTGTAGACACCTATAAACTTTGTCCAAATTCTGTCCTACATTTGAACAAAATAATTTACAGAAAAAAACACAAAAAAAAAACTAGTAAGCTCAAACTTACTGAAGGTCAGAAGTTTGATGATATATCAAACTTAAGTAACAAATATCAGTGTTAGTATTGGTATTGCTGCATGTTACTTGGTATCAGATCAATACCAAAATATGCATTAATGCACATCTCTAGTTTAGGCTTTGCAAAGGACGCTGAAAGAATGATTTTTGTGTATTAGGATTTCAGGTGATAGATAAATCCGTACTCTTACACGTATAACAGTTGTAAAATGAATGAAAAATGATGAATGCTTTTAACTATTATCTATGAATAAAAATATAGGTGTGCCACGTATTTGTCCAACTCTGAGAATGCTTCCCTCACCTGCTGAAGAACGGTGTTTGTGTTCAAGGTCAGGGACACGGTCACTTTGCATGAAATGCACACCAATCTCCAGATCTTTTTTTGCAATAATATTTTCCTTTTCATACATAAATAAATAAATTGCAAGACTCCCAGTAAATAAGTCTGTAAATGAATTGAAAACTTTTACAAGGCTTTGTAAATATGAAAGACACGTTCTTTTAAATACTGTTTTTTTTACTTGGGTATAGAAAGTACACAAAATTACATATGTAATAAGTCATATTATTTTTGTTCATATTATTATCTTTAACCAACTTATTTTAAGTCCAGTTGCATATCAAAATAGTGTAATGCCACCCAACAAATAAACATCGTATAAATACAGCCCCCTCTGTGTACATGGATTTCCATGGTGGGCATTTGCAGAGGTTACCAAGGTGGCGGCACGAACCCAGACAGTGCTGTCTCTCTCAGCTTCATGGAGCACAAGAAGACTGTTCATACAAGGAATGAGTGTGAAACTGACAGTTTGGAAAGCACGCAGACGTGTGTGTGGAGTGTCTCAGT